TCATCCGCACACAATTCCATAAGCAACCCCCATCCACAGCCCACATTCATAGGTATCATACAGAATACCACAAACTACTCATATATAATACAGGAGCCCACAATGAGTTAATCCACTAAATAAATAATAAAAGTTAATTGTGTGCCCTCAGAGTAACTTTTATAGAAAATGTAGTTTTTACTAAAGCAATTCAAATTACATATTTTATGGAATCAATCAACTCTCTGTGTAAAAACAAACTAGATTTTAAGGCTACACCCCTCGGAAAAGCTGCTTAGTTGTTTTCCATAATTTTCTTTCGACATCTATAATTGAGGAAAAAATCCATACACAGGTAAGTAAATAAGCACACAGACGGAAGAACACATATCACACATATATATTGAAAAACATCACATAAGATCACAACTGAGCAAACACAAGCACATGTCATAGAGAATATAAAATGTTAAGCTTAAAAAACATGTATCACCAATGGTATAAAATATATGTGCGATTATTATCACAAGAAACGTAGTAGGCAGCTTCTATATACTCTTCAAACGCTTACCAAATCTTTTATAAAGTAATATACATTCTAAATAGGACCAATTTAATACAATTAGTTAGGACATATCCTTGGTATTTACCTACTTCAATTCGTTTGTAGGATATATAGAGATGTTTTAATTTATGTTACAAAAATTCCACTGTAAACTTAATACCAAATTAATCCTAATAATATGTTTAATTCATTTTGGTTCCTCTGTTCTATCAAGACACATTTATAAATACACATTACAAAGTGGTGTAATGCAATGGCTATTAAAGCCATTCCCATTAGTCAGTGAATTTTTGTAACAGGAATTAAAACATCTCTATATATCCTACAAACGAATTGAAGTAGGTAAATACCAAGGATACCTCCTAACTAACTAGCCTCAATTTACATTCAGAGACTGGAGTCTCTTTCAGCATAATAGTATTAACTATTTGGGGAAACTGCTAATATATCCAAGTGGTTAAATATCAATTACCTATCACCTCTATTAGCTAGCCTCCACTAACATTTAGATGCTGGAGTGAATCTTTGCAACAGTAATTTAAATTTCTCTCTGTTTTTTGCTAATTGGATCTTAAGTTAACCCTTTGAGATCCCCAGATATTTTGGCCATTTCTAATAAAGCCTATACTGACGGGGTTATCTCTGAGCTAACTTGCAGTCAAAGAAAAGCTTTAATAGCTTTTGTACTCACTTTGCCTCATTAATTGTTTGGTTTTGTGATAAGTGTTATAATGCAAATGCTTCTAAACAATATCCAGTTAATATCAGCATTCTAAACTTCACCTTGTGTTCAGTTTTGAATTAGGATATTTTATCTTTGTATCTCACTAAATAGGGGTTAAGCCCCAGACACAACTGGAGTGTCGATCTGGTGATTACATTCCGTATGAGAGGGTTTGCAGAAGCTAACCATCTCTAACTGAATATCTCTATAAACATTTAGCCATATAAATATTAGCAAATAAACATACATGTAGATCCATACGTAAAAACATTTTGTTAATTTTATTACCTACGGTTAACAGATAATACAGTTAAGATTGAGTCCCCAGCATAACAATGCATAACAAAGAAAGGAAAGTTAGAGGATGCAACACCTAGCTATAGAGAATGGAATACTAAATGGTGCATTACCCTATAATAAAACTTAACATTTAATAAATCAATTTAAAAAGTTGATATGGACTAGTCAGAACAAAAACTAACAACAAAAAATAAATAAAAAAATATATAACAGTACTATATTACAATAAGACACATTCAGAAATACACATTACAAAGAGGTGTGATACAATGGCTATTATAGCAATTGCATTACACGTCTTTGTCATGTGTATTTCTAAACGACTAATGGAAATGGCTTTAATAGCCATTGCATTACACCACTTTGTAATGTGTATTTATAAATGTGTTTTGATAGAACAGAGGAACCAAAATGTATTAAACATATTAATTAGGACTAATTTGGTATTAAGTTTACAGTTTAATTTTTGTAACAGGAATTAAAACATTTCTATATATCCTACAAACTAATTGAAATAGGTAAATACCAAGGATACTTCATAACTAACTACCCTCAATTTACTTTCAGAGACTGGAGTATCTTTCAGCATAATAGCATTAACTATTTGGGGAAACTGCTAATATATCTAAGTGGTTAAATATCAATTACCTATCACCTCTATTAGCTAGCCTCCACTAACATTTAGATACTGGAGTGAATCTTTGCAACAGTCATTTAAATTTCTCTCTGTTTTTTGCTAATTGGATCACAAGTTAACCCTTTGAGATCCCCAGATATTTTGGCCATTTCTAATAAAGCCAATACGAAGGGGTTATCTCTGAGCTAACTTTCAGTCAGAGAATAGCTTTAATAGCTTTTGTACTCACTTTGCCTCTTTTATTGTTTGGTTTTGTGATAAGTGTTATAATGCAAATGCTTCTAAACAATATCCAGTTAATATCAGCATTCTAAACTTCACCTTGTGTTCAGTTTTGAATTAGTATTTTTTATCTTTGTATCATGGTTAAATGTTTAAACGCATGGCAAGCAATCATCTCAAAAGCAGATATGCAGAGTCTCACCATTTGATTGGTGTCTAAAAAACAGACATAAGAAACACAAGTTTTTTTCCCCAGATTTAAAATGTATTTGTATTGGTAACCATTTGATATCCTAGCTGGTAAAGCACACTGTTTTTCACTTACCTAGGAATACAGAATCATTCTCACCTACACCTACAATACCTCACAAAACTGAGTACACCCCTCCCAATTTTGTAAATATTTTATTATATCTTTTCACGTGACAACACCGAAGAAATCACACTCTGCTACAATATATAGTTGTAAGTGTACAACCTGTATAACAGTGTAAATTTGCTGTCCCCTCAAAATAACTCAACACCCAGCCATTAATGGGAGGGATCAGCGCTTTAGATATCTAACTAGAGGGAGTGAAAAGAGGCTGGCAGCTAACCCCAAGAGAAGGGATCCCTCTTTTCCTACTAATGGAAATAAAATACAGAAAAAAACAGAGAGCAAGGGGTGGCGCCACAATTTTGATATGTACAGACATATATACAGTATGTATTATATAATAGATAAATATATAGTTAAAAGTCCAAAATGGTAAAACAAGTCCAAGAGATATTAGAAGTATTTTTCTACCAAGTGTCTGGGTAATTCCTCAATGGGTGTAGCAGGGTGGGTTCAGCAGTGGAGTCTGTATGAAACAACAGAAAGGAATAATAGGGTAGTATGTTCTTACAGGGGAAAATAAAAGGAAAATTATATAGTCCTACTCACGTTTTATGGAGCTGTAACTAGCTCCAGTATGAATGGCATATAGTGGTACAATCCCCACTTGCAAGGATACGTGAGCATGAAGACTTTGTAGTAGGTGGACTATGAAAATAAAAAGAAACAACAATAGTGCTTACTGAATAAAATGTCAGGTGTAAGGATAAATGGAAACATACTCACATTTGCCAGAGCAGGCAAACTGCTCTAGGGATCAGGCGTGGGTGATATAATCCCCACCGAGGATGTCTTTGGAGTAGTACTCACTGGAGATAACAAATCAGGTGCAAGGCAGCATGAGTTAAAATAAAATAAAATCCAAATAAAATAGTAGTGATAATAAAAATGTATAAAAAATAGTAAAAAGGCAAACTCTAGTAAAGTGTAAAATAAACCAAAGTACCTTTATTCATACAATAATAAAACACAGGTTAAAACAGCATAAATAGTAACCACAACATGTTTGCCTCCACAGCTTCTTAAAGTGGAGATAAAAAGGAGTGATCTGACATATAAGGGTTTAAATAGGGGAATGAGGATTCACAGGACAGGTTCCACTCAGAACAGGCCTCGCCATGGTCGACCAAAGAAATAAATGAATGTCCTAACGTCATATCCAGAGGTTGTCTTTGAGAAATAGACATATGAGTGTTGCCAGCATTGCTGTAGAGGTTGAAGTGGTGGGGGTCAGCCTGTCAGTGCTCAGACCATATGCCACAAACTGCATCAAATTGGTCTGCATGGCTGTAGTCCCAGAAGGAAGCCTCTTCTAAAGACGATGTACAAGAAAGCCTGCAAATGATAAACTTATTTGGTTCAGATGATGTCAAGCATTTGTGGTGTGGAGTACAAAGACAAGTGTGTCTTGCCTAAACTCAAGCATGGTGATAGGAGTGTCATGATCTGGGCCTCCGTGAGTGCTGCCGGCACTGGGGAGCTACAATGGCAACATGTACTGTGACATACTGAAGCAGAGCATGATCCCCTCCCTTCAGAGACTGTGTCTCAGGGCAGTATTCCAACATGATAACAACCACAAACACACCTCCAAGATGACCACTGCCTTGCTAAAGAAGCTGAAGGTAAAGATGATGGACTGGCCAAACATGTTTCCAGAACTAAACCCTATTGAGCATCTGTGGGGCATCCTCAAACAGAAAGTGGGGGAGTGCAAGGTCTCTAATATCCACCAGCTGCACAATGTCATAATGGAAGAGTGGAAGAGGACTCCAGTGGCAACCTGTGAAGCTCTGGTGAACTCCATGCCCATGAGGGTTAAGGCAGTGCTGGAAAATAATAGTTGCCACACACAATATTGACACTTTGGGACCAATTTGGACATTTTCACTTAGGGGTGTACTGACTTTTGTTGCCAATGGTTTAGATATTATTCACTGTGTGTTGAGTTAATTTGAGGGGACAGCAAATGTACACTTTACATTGTAGCAGAGAGCTATTTCTTCAGTGTTGTCACATAAGCATCCTCCCTTAAACCTGTATAAGAGGAGGTGCTGGTGATTCCTCCCATTTTACCTTTGTGGAGCAATCCTGGTACATTGCCAAGCTGTCTCAAAAAGCATATATAAGGTTCATCACAGAATGGTCAACCTGTTCCCTTCCTATTCTCCATTTAAAAAAATTCACTGGTAAGAAGATGGGAACATTTAAAGGGATCCCATTGTGGATCCTTTTAGTCATCCTGGGCTCATTGAATGGTAAGATATTACCCATTTAATTTTTTCAATAACATTAAAAGAATAAAAAGCATTGTTATAAATGTTTATAATATCTAGTCCTTTTTAAATAAATATAATACAAAAATATCAATTTCCATTTTAATTTGCTCCGTGACATTTTAACTTCTTCAATTTAAATACTTTTAAATACTTTTTGAGTTCTTTAGTTTTATCAGTATGACTTTTGCATATTGCTGGAAAAAAACTGTAATTATGTATTAAGCATATGGACAAATATATTTTTTAATATAGAAAATCATAATTAAAAATGATTGTCAATTATAAAAAGGTGTAAAAACGTGTAAAAGATAACCTTATGAGGCTAAAGAAAGTTTAAAAAATAAATTCATATAGAAAGAATTCCTAAAATTCAATGTACAACCTCAATAGGGAAGCTAGATAAAACTAAATATATTTCTAAAATATGTATTAAAATACTAATTGAATATTTAAACATTGATTGCATTAAAACACTTTTCCTTGCTGCACTTTAATGTATTGCATGTAAAGTGTTTGTTTACTGTAACTGTGCAATTCCAGGCAGCTCCTTAGCTTTTATAATACCAAAGTAAATTATTCTCACCTTGTAAGATCTGGGTGAATATCTAACACTTTGTCCAAAATGTCCCTTTTGGTAATTTTGTGTTGATTATTAGGAAGGCAAATCTAGTAATATCTTGGCAGAAAAAAAGGAGAGGTTGTGTAGGGGAATGCATTCCTTTAAATGGCATTAAAACTGCCTACTAGCTATGAACAACACATTGTATTGCCAGAGGTGTGGTTATAAACTTTAGATTGTAAAACCTTTGGTATTTGTTGTTTTTGTTAGTTAACCATACAGTTGATTTAACTTGTCATGGTTCTTAAGAAAATAAAAGAGGATTAGGCAGTCACATGTGTGTTAAAATATGCGCTTGTAGGTGAGAGTGTTTGGAGACCAGTAGATATGCTATCCAGCACACGCTTGCACTGATTGTCCATATGATATATAGTCTTTTTATTTTTTGATTGGATTGTTTTTTAATTTATCAGATTATATTTGATAACTACAGAACCAGCTGTGCTGGTTTGAAATGTTCTTATGTATTTTCCTTGCATAATCAACCTTCAGATGTTTATACGTTTTGGAATTCTACTCTACTCTAACTTCATTTTTGTTTAGTAGATATACCACCAATGAAAACATGTATTTCCATAGGGAGTATTGTCTTGTCCGGAGCCTTTGCAATCACTCCTCTTTTAACTCGGTCAAAAATTTCTGTGGCTGTTCAATCACAGACATCTAAATACAACTTAATGAGAAGTTTTTGCAAGGAAGGTGCTTTGGACAATTGCTGCCTCTTGAGTTTACCTCCACTGAGCTAATAAAACTAGGAAGTAACAGGACCAGTTGCCTGATTGACAGCCAGGGGGTGTAACAAGGTTAATCTATAAAAAAATGTCAATTTCCTTTGAATTTTTTTTTGTAAAATGGAAAAAAAGAGGACACACTCTTTACATAACGCACTTCAGGAAACTGAAGTACTGTTCATTTAATTTCCTATCTCCATTCTGCTTTTGTGTCTCTCCCCTCCCCTTCTCCTACCACCATTCTCTCTCCCTCTCTCTCTTTCTCTACTTATTTCTCTATCCTTTATCTCTCTACCTATCCAGCAGTTATGCGCTGAAGCTGGGCTGCTGAGATTATTGTTGCCTAGTAAAATAATAATAAAAGCACTTGTATCCTACCACCTAAGGGAGATCCAGGGTTGAAGTAGTCCTTATCTGAGGCTTTAGCCATTAGAGCCACCCATATCCCCTCTATACATTTTAAATCAACTGCTGTATTTGGCATAATGAATACTCATCTTTATTTTTCTCTCCTCTCTCTTTCTCTCTTTCTCCATGTTCCCTGTATGCTTGTCCATCAATATTTTTATTTTTTATTTTAAAGTCCATTCCAATTTATAAATAGTATGCATTCTGGGAATATATTGACTAATCAAAAATATAAGATGTTATATTACACTGCACAATGCCAGTTATCAAAAGGGAAGTTCAAATGTGTAGCATAAAGGTGAAAATTTGAACAAAATAATTTCTAGGTTCATAAGTATCATAGACTTTGGCTCAAAGCCAGGTGTTTGAAGTGTAACACAGGTGTGGTGATAGCTTGGAAATGAACATTTACTGTTAAATGCTTGATTTTAATGATATCTAGAAATACATCACCTCTGTATAAGATAAGATAGTGTTAACATCAGACAACTGTCAATGTGCAGACAAACATTGTTTCATGTAAAACATGAACTAGTGAAACTAAACACTTAGTATTAAGTACTTTTGAGGGTTGTTGGATACATATCCCAATGTTTCGCTCTCTAACTGGTGTCATACGGATTACATGTACAGATTACATGTTTTATTATTCCTTGGTTTCAAGCTTTCTTTACGAGTACTTACTTTTTAGCTTAGTTTAAAACATTGTGCTTTATTGAATAAATATTGTAAATTCTAGAAATGCTCCCTTTGGACATTTAGTAGAGTGTGCTAGATGGCATGTTTCTTTAAAATTCTGGATAGACAGATTGACATACAGAGATAGAAGATAGAATGGTAGATATACATATAGACAAACAAACAAACAAACAGAGAAGCAGAAAAATGTCTTACAAACATGTTAGACAAATGTCTCACTTCAAGTATTGAAGATATGAAGTTTAGATCTAGATGATGTATTCTAATCTTTCAGCTGTGGCACTAGATTTTGTTAGGTATACACATAGAAAGTCTTTTAAATATGAAATATTTATTACAGCACTTAAAGCGAAACCCTTAAATTACAGTGGAACCAACAATTATTGCAAATTCCAGATTTTGTTTTGGTATTTGGACAAATGCTTTGCCCTTAAGGAGGTTAATGTTTTATAAACCATGGCAAGATCCAAATGTCCAGTTTATTGAATGAGCAAGAAAGTAAAGTGCCAAGTACCAGCTGCTAAAACCTCTTTTTAGCCTATCTATACAATCTGGCGTTGATAAAAAGTGAAAGCACATGAACTGTTAATGGTATACGATGAAATGCAGCACAACTGTCTAATTAAAAATTTAGTTTATAATCTCAATATTTACTAAATAAGTTAAATTCAGTTATGGTATAATTAAGACAAGGATTTATATTAAAATAATAATAATTTTGAAGTGCTTAATTAGAAAAAGCACATAGAAAACTGGGGTCTATATGTATTGGTATTCGTTTTATTGACCTCCGATGGATGAATTACTGGGTTCACCTTGCTGGGAGACAAAGGGAAATGGTCACTTAGGGATAAGTAAAGATTATACTAATAGTACTAAAAAAAATAAACTAAACAATTAAAACTGTGACTCTGACTTCTTGTCCATGTAGCTCAGATACAGTATGAAGACTACACTGTAGATAAGACCATTGATTACACTTTTCGTGACAGCACCCAACAACAACAACAACAGAACAGTAAGTCGAAATTATTCACACATTTTATTTTAGAAATACGGAATATATACTGATAAGAAAATATATGTTTCCAGAGCTCTGCTTGTTGATAAAGTATGCATATTGTAGCTATATGTTCTTTTTTTAATGTTTTTTTTTGTTCATGTTATATATGCTATGAAATGAAATAACCAGTATCATTACTGTGAATTTTCCAAAAAGTCAATGAGCTAGCCATCTCTCATATTTTTATTGAACTTGTAAGTGGATTTCTTCTTTTCAGTTGTAGTAACTGGTCCTCCAAGAATATCCATCATACAAGCTGTGCCTACCACCCCGGTTGTAAAAGGTACGAAGATGCTACTTATATAAACGCATTTAGTAATTAATATATATGGGCATATAACATCGTATTTGTGTATCAGATAAACAACAGCTATAATGATTACAAACAATTGCATGCCCTTTCAATTTCAATTGATTTCATTATTGGAAAGCAATTAATAACATTTGCATATATTGTATCCTGCACCCTTTATAGCAATCAACGTGGCTCACAATGGTAAAGTCTGCAGCACTTGGGGGAACTTCCACTTCAAAAATTTTGATGGTGATGTGTTCTACTTTCCGGGAACCTGCAACTACGTTTACTCATCTCACTGCAAAAGTACATATGAAGACTTTAACATCCAAATCCGACGTTCTGTCATTAATAATGTCCCTGTTATTGAAAAGATCACCATGAAAATTGATGAACTTGTAGTACAAATTGACAGCAGCAGTGTAGAAGTCAATGGAGAGGTGTAAGTTATCTTTTCTGCTTAACTTGGGTAACACATGTAAATGGATATTAATGTACTATGTAATAAAATAGTTAAAGGGACACTGCAGGTACTATAACTGCTTCATCATATTGAAGTTGTTACAGTGTCTGGAATCTCCTGGCTCTGTTTTTACATTCAGTGTTAAATTGCTTTCAATATTTTAATAATAAACACAAGTTTTAAGCTGCCCATCCCTTCATTGCTACTTGGACACATAACGACTCATTACAGCTTTTAGCCTATCACATCATTCATTGCTAATATATATTGGTATGGCTAAAAGGAAGTGTGCACTCTCTGCCTTATCCATATCTCCACTAGAGACCATCTGTGGGTGTCCATGGATTCTTATATAGTGTTAAATACGGTTTCACACATGATTAAATAATACTGAATGGAGGGACAGCACAAGAGGACTCCAGGCACTATTATAAATTTGTTGAGGTTAATGGTTATAGTGTCCCTTTAAAAACAAAATTCACAGGTTCATTTTACAAAACATTCTCAAGAAATAACAGAAACATGTTATGTTTTAATATAATTTTGAAATGTATTCTTGTTCATCATCTACATAGCCTAAATCAAACATTTGATTGAGACAAACCTGCCACAAACATAATGGTTCAGAAACAACAGGGATCCTAAATTCTCATATAATTCCATAAGCACAGACTGCTATTATAATTTCAGACTCAAGCCCATATTTGGATGATTGTTATGTTTGGAAAGGACCATTGTCCAATATTTAACTGTGCACGTTCATCCTATTGGGGCTTACCAGGATTTGCAGATCTGGTTTATTGGTGGAAATCTGACAGTGTACATTTAAGCCTATAAATAATTTTAAACATTTATGTTTTACATATGTAGATGATGCTAAACAGAATATGTCTGAATTTACTTTGGTCTTAAAAAACTAAAGAGAAGTGGTGCTAAGCTATGTTAATGCCTAACCTAACCTATGCTCATTCTAAATTCATAATGCTAAGTGTCATGTTGACATAGCATTCTTTGCATGTGTATCTATTGTGTTAAAAAGCAAAGCTTAATAATACTAATGTGTTTTCTAAATTCTTGTTCCAGAGTGCAATTGCCTTATGGTGGTGGTGGGGTTCAGATTGAAAAGAATGGAGTGTATCTAAAAGTGAGCTCCAAGCTTGGATTAGTCTTCATGTGGAACGAAGATGAGAGCCTATTGGTAAACAGATTGCTTAAAATGTCTTTACAAAAAGATGTCAGAAAATGTTTGAGCTTGAGTAAACAAAAAATGTTTGAGCTTGTGTATGTTTCTCTCTTTGTATAGCTCGAACTTGATCAGAAGTATGCCAATCAGACCTGTGGGCTGTGTGGGGACTACAGCAGCATCTTCATCAATGAGTTCATTTCTGATGGTTTGTATATTTGTGGTTTGATATTAAAGATAGTTTGGAATAAATGATATATAAAACACCATTCTAGTGAAAAACATTATACAATGCCCTGTTCACTTTGAGTTTTTGTAAACCATATCAGTAAAGAATTGTACTTTGTCTTATTCACTTGGAGTTTTTGATGCTTCATATTAGACATATTCATGAGTCTTTCATTAACACTATAATAAGAAAATATATCAATGTGTTACATTTATTTATAGATTTATTAGAAAATATGAAAGTACATTGGTTATGCTCCACCAACGTGTATTTTTACAGGTGTCCAGATCACAGAAACTCAATTTGGAAACCTGCAGAAAATGGATGAACCTACAGAACAATGCCTGGATGTTCCACCACAACCCAAAAGCAATTGCACAGACTATGTAAGCAATGACATGTATGACAGGGATATGTAACATACTTTTATAACATGTCCACACCACAAATTGTTAATTTAGTTTTGAGAATATTCTGTTACAAGTATCAAACATTTGTAAATTACTGAGAAACAAAATGTGTTATAATTACTACATTAGCCTTATTGTGGAATCTACAATTTAATGAGTCTGATGAAAAGAAAGCACATACTTTTGGGGATCCTTTGCTTTCTATCTGATAAATGTTGCTGTAAATGCCTGTGTTCCTATATAACTGAGTGAATTAATAATAATAAAAAAATGTATTCTAATCATCTTTTATATTTACAAAAATATGACATATTAAGTTAATTTGATCCTTAAAAAGTAATATCCATTAGCAACTAAATTAGTAGGAATGAACAGCTAGGAAAATACTTGCACAGTCTAGTAGAAATAAATATATATTTACAATTTTACATTACTGTAAAAAGATTTTCTGCATTCATCAAATGCTAACTTTGCAAATAACTTGATTGAAATGGTTTGTGATACATTCTCTTACAGGAAAACATCTGTGAGGGAATCTTGATGGGAGCAGCCTTTTCAAATTGCCGCTCTTTGGTGGATGTTGAACAATATATTGAGACTTGTGTGAAAGACCTTTGTCTCTGCAACAGCAATGTCACCACTCTCTGTTTGTGTGATACATTTGCTGAATACTCAAGACAATGTGCCCATGCTGGAGGTCAACCACAGAATTGGAGAACACCCGATTTGTGCCGTGAGTTCATTTCTTTACATATCTTGTAACAGCATTTCTCTTATTAAACATATTCGTCTCCTATGTTTAATTTGATTAATTTTAAGAAAATAGAAATGCATGGGATATCCTAATATAGTGATGATAACTGATGTTAGTATGGTTTCATAGGCAAACCAAGGGTATATTAAGTGTTATACATGAAACATTAGATGATTCTACACAAAATAAACTGATATTGATTTCTAATTGTATTTGTTCATGGCAGCTAAAAAGTGTCCTTATAACATGGAGTACCAAGAATGTGGCTCACCTTGTGCTGATACGTGCACAAACCCGGAAAGAGGTGTCATTTGTGAAGATCACTGTTTAGAAGGCTGTTTCTGTCCTCCAGGTACTTTTTAGAGCATGTTTCAGAAGAAAATGTAAATAATTTATGGGTAAACCATAACAGCTATAGTAATACGAAAATAACATTTCCTTGTTTAGTTTCACTTCAATAAAGACAAAATCCATATATTGGCTGACTTGCCTTGACTCTTAAGCTTAACAATGCACTTTATTCCAGGGACTGTATTTGATGACATCAGTAATACAGGCTGCATTCCAATTGAGAAATGCTTATGTACATTCAACAGTGATACCTATACTGCAGGGACATCTTACTCCACATCTTGCAGCACCTGGTGAGTTCTGCATATATGATTATGCTTGTGAATAACAAGCTATTTTGAAGTTTTAATTTCTGCATTGTCTACTTCAAGGGTGGGCAAATGGTAGATCCCCATATTTTGTAGGACTGCAAATCTGATACTTTTACATTCTAAAGGCTGGTAAAGCATTATGACATTTGTAGTTCTACAACATCTGGGGCTCTACACTTTACCCATTCTTGGTCTACATGTATGTAATCTAATGGGTCATGTTAACATTCTCAAATTATTTATTTAGCTGTAATATTTATTTAAATATATTTGTCTTCACTAGTATTAGCCTGTTCACCACTGTCATGGTGTAATATTCCAACGCGCAGAGTTTAGGATAACAAGGGACAAGACCAGGATATAACGTATTACCAGACCTTTGAATGGCAGAACTAAACATCAGACAGAGATAAAGCGTAATCAGAGACGAGCCGAGGTCAGGGTAACGGAGAGACAGCGAAAACAAGAACTAGCCAGAGTCAGAAACACGGTAATCAGTCAGACGGGCAAACAAGACAGGTAAGGGTTAAAGATAAACTCAGAGTCAGATACAAAGCCAAGGTCAATACCAGAATAAACACAATATATCAAGGAATGCACTAAAGTGTACTGAAACAGAAACCACAACAGGGCAAAGTGCATAGGGCTAGGGAAGCTTAAATACCCTTTAACTAATATTTGATTGGCCCACGTCATGCCTACGCCCCCAAAACGTGAGTGTGTGGGGGTGTCAAAATGACTTGTGCCAATGGGAGCCTGGATCTACTTTTGACTCCCACTGCCCCTTTAAGAGCATACTTGTGATGCGAGCCAAGCTCCTAGTTCTAGGCAGGCCGCATGACCGCTCACTGCGGACAGTGCCCGAGGCCCACTCAGAAGAGGAGATCGAGATGCGTGTGGCTCATGTGGAGGCAGGAGTCCTGAGGACCCCGGCCCCAGCATGAGGTAAGTTCTGCCACAGTACCTGCCCAAAGACACGGCCACCGGGTGGGAAGGGCCAGGCTTGGCATGGAAGTGGGAATGGAATGAACGCAGAAGGTGAGGGGCATGAACATCAGCTGCAGAAACGCAACTGTGCTCCTCCAGGCCATACCCCTTCTAATGTACCATGTATTGGAGACGACCCCTAAGGAGATGGGAATCAAGCACAGCAGCCACCTCATACTCCTCCTGGCCCTTAATAAAGAAAGGAGGAGGGGGAGAAACAGGCCTGGTGAACCGATTACAAAGAAGACGCTTCAACAAGGAGGTGTGGAGCACATTGGGCACACGCATGTTCCTCGGAAGGTCCAAGGCATAAGAAACAAGATTAACCTTGCACAAGATGCATAAAGGACAGATATAGCAGGGAGTCAACTTCATAAAAGGAACTCGGAGATGGATTTTATAAGTAGAAAGCTGTCCCCCATAATATAGGAGGGAGCTGCCCTATGATGCCTATCAGCCTGTACCTTTTGACAAGCAGCAGAATCCACCAGGGAACGCTGAACCTGTTCCCAAGTTTTATGCACACCAGCCAAATGTTCGTCCAGAACCTGCATACCGCGCAAAGAGAATGCAGATGGGAGAACAACAGGATGCCGGCCATAAACAACGTTAAAAAAAGTACTGTTACCGGAATACTGAGCAGCATTATTACGAGTAAATTCAGCCCATGGGAGCCGGTCAGCCCAATCATTCTGATGGTGGGAAACAAAACAGTGAAGATATTGCTCTAGGGACTGGTTGGCATGTCCAGCAGATCCATTAGTCTGGTGGGTGGTCGGCAGAGGAAAAGGATAGAGTAATACCCAATACTCTGAACAAAAGGCTCTCCAGAACCAGGCAATTAACTGACTACCCTTATCGGACACTATACAATCAGGTATGCCTTGTAATCTAAACACCTCCCTGGTGAATATGGCAGCCAAATCTTTGGAAGAAGGTAATTTGACAAGTGACACAAAATGAGCCATCTTAGAAAATCTATCAACGATCATTAGGATTACCATTTTACCATTGGAATGAGGAAGGTCAACAATAAAATCCATGGAAAGATTAGACCTAGGTCTCTCGGGTACAGGTAAAGGTTGTAACAACCCACAAGAAACCCTATGGGAGGACTTCATGCTGGCACAAGTTACACATGCTTGTACATAATCTGTGATGTCCTTGCACATAGAGGGCCACCAAAAGTTCAGTGAAACTGCAAATAAAGTTTTAGAAATACATGATGCCCGGCTGTCTCAGTATCATGATAGAGTGACATTATGTCTTGTCTTTCAGAGAGCAACATATAACTTAGCAGGTTTCTCCTTTGGTGCCTCATTTTGTTTGATTTGTATAATTTGTAGGATAGATGAAGAAATAGAGAGAATAGTAGTAGCAATTATCCTGTCAGGTGTTATGACAGGAGTATCATCAAATTCTTGTTCACCAGTTGTTTAAAACTGCCTAGACAGAGAATATGCTTTGGTGTTGCGGTCACCTGGTCTATAGGTAATGACATAATTGAAGCATAATAAAAACAGAGACCGCCTAGCCTGTCTAGAAGACAACCTTTTAGCAATCCTCAAAGATGCAATGGTTTATCAGGGGACTCTCTTTGGGACAGAGCTGCTCCCACTCTCAGCTCTGAGGCATCAACCTCCAGTACAAAAGGCAAGGAAGGGATTGGGTGCTGAAGAATAGGAGCATAAGCAAATCCTTTCTTAAGAGAATTAAAGATATCAAGTGCTTCTGGGGTCCAGGCATGTGTATTAACATCCTTTTTTGTCAATCTGGTAATAGGTGCAATAATAGAGAAATAAACTTTTATGAAATGTATATAATTGTTTACAAAGCCAATAAATAACTGGATGGCTTTCAAACCATGTGGTAAGGGCCAATCTATAACTGCAGAAAGCTTTTTGGGATCCATATGAAAGCCTTTAGCAGAAACTAGATAGCCCAGGAATTGAACTTAAGCTTGGTCAAACAGACACTTCTCGAGTTTACAGTAGAGGCCGTGAACCAGAAGAGTCTTAAAAACCTGTCTGACATGCATGTGATGAATACGCAGATCAGGTGAATATGTCAATATGTCGTCCATGTACACTATTAAAAACTTGTGTATGTACTCCCTTAAGACATCATTGATAAAATCCTGAGACACTGCTGGGGCATTACAGAGACCAAAGGGCATCACGGTGTACTCATAGTGATCACTCCTGGTGTTAAAGGCAGTCTTCCACTCATGACCCTCTTTAATACGTACTAGATTGTAGGCACCCCAGAGATCCAGCTTAGTAAATACTGTACTCTGTTTAAGTTTCCAAACAATTCCGTTATCAATTAAATGGGATAGGCATTTTTGATTCTGACCTTATTAAGACCCCTGTAGTCAAGATACGGTCTTAAATCACCTTCTTTCTTAGATACAAAAAAAGAAGCTTGCCTTGGCCAGAGAAGAGGATTTTCTGATAAACTCTTTCTGTAATAATTCCTTGATGTACTCCTCCATGACAAAGTTCTCTTGGGGAGAAAAAGGATACACTCTCCCCTTGGGAGGTATAGAAGCAGGTAGTAAATCAATCATACAATTATACAATCATACAGTCTATGGGCTGGTAACTTTTCCGCTTCTCTTTTGTCAAAAATCACTCTTAAAGTCTTGTACTGAGGAGGTATAACACTAGACAAATGATGAGCTGTTGGTGTGTTAAAAGAATTCAAAGGAGTAACTTTGGTGATACAAGTATCATGGCATTTGGTACTCCATGATTCTACTTGACCTGACAGTTCCATTTTGTGAGTAATAACCGGGGAAAAAAATGGTCTACCATCTATGGCCTCAATGGCCAAGGGTGTTTCCTTCTCCCTTAAGGATGTCTTGTATGACTTTACAAAGTTGGAATCAATGAAGTTCTCAGCCGCACCGGAGTAAACCAGTTCTAGAACATTCCTTATATCTAATAAACTGTTGAAATACATGGAAACAGGGAGAAGTAGTCTATTTAGAGGCAAATGTGGGAACTCCTAGACAGAGCATCTAGGCCGGCAACCCAAGGCCTTTTTTTTGTCACAGTAAAGACAGGGTTCTTTCTTCCTCCTATACAGTTTTACTGCATCAGTGAGCTAGGTAACCCCTAATTGCATAGGTTCTACCTCTGGTACCATGGAAATCTCAATAAGGCATCTATTTTTATTCCTGGTGTACTGTCTTTCACAAATCATATTTTCTATATCGATTAAGTAGTCAATAAGATCCACCATGGCTACTGGGAGGTCTCTGGCCGCTACCTCATCCAATATAGCATCTGAGAGACCTTCCATAAATGCTGTAACAAGTTTGCTGTTTGTGCATTCTACCTGAGAAGCCAAGGTACAAAACTGGATAGCGTAGTCAGCAACTGACCTGGATCCCTGTTTGATTGTCATCAATGCTTTAGCAACATTTTTAGCCCTGCTGGTAGTGTCAAATGTCCTGCGAAAAGCTATAAGGAAACCTTGGAAATCATCAACCAGTGGACCATTAGCCTCCCATATGGGATAAGCCCACTCAAGTTCCTTTATCAGTGAGCTGATGCATGAGTTACTCCACTTTTGACCTGTCAGTGGGAAAGGATCGTGGAAACATCTCAAAGTAGAATTTCACTTGATTGAGAAACCACTTACAAGTCTTAGCATCTCCTATTTACCTAGGAGGAGGAGTCAGGTGTGCTGACGCATTAGTCAGGTTAGATGCCTCTGGAATAGGAGGTACGGGTTGAGATGGTATGGATACCAGTGTCTCAGGGGCCAAACAAGAGGTGTCTGGACAAAAGTGTCTGAAGCGCCTGGGCAATCATCCGTGGCCTTGCTGTCCTAATCCTGCAGGGTCCATGGCCCTATCGTAATGTCACAGTGTAATACCCCAACACACAGAGTTTAGGATAGCAAGGGACAACACTAGGATGTAATGTATTGCAGGGCCTTAGAATGGCCGGACTAAAGTTAGACAGAGATAAAGCGTGATCAGAGACGAGATGAGGTTAGGGTAACGGAGAGACAGCGAAAACAAGAACTAGCCAGAGTCAATTTTACATTAATTTCTTTTTAAAAATATTTTCTATTTCTTTTAAATGTAGTTTTGCTATGTAATCAAAACATAGATAATTACATACAGAATATAAATGCATTATACATGTAGAATGATTCAGCCCAACATCTAACAAGATAGCAACAAAATAACTATCATATTCTACTGTTTTTTTATTTGTTTGTTTTTAACTTACATAATCTTGCATTTTATGTTGGTGTTTGTACTATAAAAATAATAATAAAGACAAAAAAGGTAAATAAGTATAAAAATGAGAGGCATATATTGAAGTTATTTTTGTATTATTATTATTAGTAGTAGTGGTAATAGTAGTAGTTTTAGTAGTAGAAGAATTAGCAGCAGCAATATTAGAAGTAACTAATTAAGTACAGACTTATACCACTTATATCACTGTACAACACAGACATGGTATATTTTAACAAAGAATAAATCACAATAGCATATTCAATAATATATTGAAAATAGCATTGCAAATTGTCATTTATTGTGTCTTTCCAAAAATATCCAAAAGTGTTAATGCTAAATAAACAGAGCATTTTGTGGCAGAATAGTACTAAATAGCTGTGACAAAATAGATAATCATTGATCAGTAATGGATTAAAGGATATAACTGTGGTATTGGCTGCTAATAGGAAAATAATCAGTTGACCCTTTTCAAAACCAACTTTTTTTGTCTTTTTGTCTATTTTGCCTAATAGTGTAAGAATATATTTAAGGAATCCTTTACATGAAGAAATTCAGCTTAGAAAAATATTGATAGCTATTGTTAATTTCTTGGCTTTGACGTTAATGAATTGTAGAATTTGCAACAACTCATTTTTATTGTATGCAAACCACTTTTTTAATCCTGTGAGATATGTTTGAGGGCTTCACCTTCATGCATGCTTTAAAGCACATTCTACTTATAAAAAAATAAAAAATGAAAACAAATAAATCTTAAACTGAAGAGTCCTCTAGTGGTTTCCTTAGGTAATTTTCTTCTCTTTTTTTCATATAGTGTCTGTTCGGCTGGAAAATGGGACTGCCAGAACATGCCTTGCCCAGCAACCTGCTCCATTCAAGGGGGGTCTCACATTACAACTTATGATCAAACTCACTACAATGTTTTTGGAGACTGTAATTATGTACTATCTAAGGTAAAGAAAAATAATGACATTACAAATATGACAATATGTAAATAACAGGGTAGTATACAAGTTGGAACATTGTATAGCAAATGTAGTTAAAAGTGTTTGGTTTATTTCATGAATATTGTCATTAATATTAATACTATTTCTTCTTCTAGGTTTGCAGTGGTTACGATTTTACAGTTCTGGCAGAACTGCGTATATGTGGTCTTACAGAGAGTGAGACTTGCCTTAAGAGTGCCACTGTAATGCTTAATGGAGGAGAAACTGTGAGTTTACATAAGTAAATCTGTTATATTTGAATATGTTAATGCTTTATAAATGCCAGTAATAATAATAATATTATTAATAATAACTTTTTCAGCAGCACTATCTCATTAACCATTTTCTCAGTTTTTTTTATACGTGTCTATATTTTCTTCTCTACATACATTTGTTTAAAGTTTTAGTTCCATTTATCATAATCATAATTATTCTTAATATTTTTGCTTTAGTTCGTCTAAAATGCATTGTGTTTCCATTTTCCAGTATCCAATGTGCAATACATATGAATGGCAAATGAAGAGAGAAATAAATGTTTTATTTGAAAAATGTTATCTCATTATTCCAACAGATTGTCGTTATCAAACCAAGCGGCAGTGTGTATGTTAACAACATCTACACCCAGCTGCCTTTATCTGCAGGTATTAATTCTATTCTATGTGGGTATAAAAATTTCCCAAATCTATGAACACATCAGTGTACAATTATACTAAATATACTACACTTTTAAAAAAACACAAATTACCACATTTTTAAAAAATGCATTTGTTATATTTATGTTTCTTCTATAATGCCTAAATGTGTTGAATTATTGTGACAACAGGCTAGGAACACTGAATTACTACATATTGGGACCTATAGTCTTTTTTTGTCATATGAAAGGTATATAAAGAAAACAGAATTTATTTTCAATTAGTGTAATTTTTGTACATTAAATTGCAGCCAAAGTTACCGTCTTCAGACCATCCTCATTCTACATTGTTGTTGAGACTAATTTGGGTGTCCAGATAGTGGCTCAGCTCATTCCTTTAATGCAGGTCTATGTCATCCTAGACCCCTCTTTCAAGACCAAGACATGCGGTAAGAATATATTTTCTTTTGTCTCCTGTTTTCAACGGAAAGTGCTTGGAATTAGTCATTTACTATCAGTTGATATTTTCAGGTCTCTGTGGAAACTTTAATGACAAACAGACAGATGATTTCCAGACCATTAATGGTGTAATAGAGGGAACTGGTGCATCCTTTGCCAATACTTGGAAGACCCAAGCATCCTGTCCTAATGTCAAGAATTTATATGAAAATCCATGTTCTCTCAGCGTCCAAAACGGTAATTTTTCAAATTGTTTTGTTATTAATTAATTTGTTTGTAATGGCTGCTAACCAAAACGTGCCAGCTCTAACAGTAAGAAATTAATATGTGTAAGGGCATTTTCTTTTGGTAATTCTGCATAGTGATTTTATATTCAATACTAATGGTAAAACACGTCTAATACATGGCTTAAACAACTGATAAAAAAAAGTATAATGCTTCATAGTTGGAATTATAGGTACTCACTGCTCTGGTGTCCAGAAAGGAATGTCACTCCTAAATAGATAGTGCTATTTTATATTACAAAACTTTTTCAATAAGCAACATTCTAACTTTACTAGGTTTAGGTAGGTAGCTAAGATGACACATCCTTTTTATCGCATTTTCGCAGAGAAATATGCCCAGCACTGGTGTGGACTTATTGCTGATCCATCAGGTCCATTTGTTGCTTGTCATTCCCAAGTTAATACTGAAATCTATACTCAAGTAAGTAAAACACACTCTTATTAACTTCTAAATTTAAACTTTGTATCTTTAAATTCTGATATGGGACTTTTTTATTGTATTTTCAACAGTTTTGTAAAGGTTTTGTCTGACTGTCTGTCCATCTGTCCATACATTTAAGATTAAACGCAAAGGGAAACATATGAGTAGACACATATAATATCTTAAATGATTTAAGAATCCAGCACATTTTGTTTTTTAGAACTGTATGTTTGATACCTGCAATTGTGAAAAAACTGAAGACTGCATGTGCGCTGCTCTATCCTCATATGTCCATGCATGCGCTGCCAAAGGAATCATACTTACCGGATGGAGAGCCGATGTCTGTTGTAAGTAATGAAAACCACACTTTAAATTAATGAGTATGTCTTCACTATACACAAAAATTGTATTTAAATGAAAATGTAAAACTGAGGCTAAATGGTGAGATGGAGATTTTTTTAATTTACCTATTTTTGCCCAAGTTAGGTAATCTGATATTTTAATTTGTTGCAATTCAAAGTTTAGTGAATAAACCTCTGTTGGTTTTTAGTCATTAATAATTTGAATAATAAGATATAGCTATTTCCGGAGTATATATGGATTTAATCTCTAGATTTTTGATATGTTTAGAGGTCTAAGCAATGGATACTATGTTAGTAATTCAATCAACTGTTTTTTTTAGTTTATGGTTGATAAGCAAGGATATTTTTATTCACTATCCATAGACTATTACTAAGTGTTACTCCAAGCAATGAACGCTTTATGAGCAATCTAATCAATTATCTTTAGTCCTTAGTTTATAGCTCCTTATCAAGGATATATCTATCCACTATCTACGGATTATTACTAAGATTTTACGTGCCAATGGTGTCAGTATAGATTGTATGGACGACACTCTATTACTGAGATCTATAATATTGTATTATTGTCTATCTCTTAGCATAATTCTATACCTGCTTAACCCCACTCTTATATAGACCTAATAGTCTCCCCTGTGTTTCTTTTAGATGTGATGGGTTTTATTTAAGTTTACTTTTTTCTTGGGAATTTATGCCCTATAATTAAGGTGTTTTTTCTGTATAGATATTTGCAACGCCCAGAGAACTCTTCTTGGTGCTCCTGAAGCCTTTTTGGCCAGGGATCACTTTTAGTTATAATACTCTGTATGCATTCAAGGGTTATCCCCTATATAGGGTTCTGTGCACACACTGCAGATTCCTATAGCTAGGAATCTTGCACTTTTGTGTTCGTTTGTGTTTTTACTCATTATCCTAAAATCTTGACACAATGCTATTACACACTAAAATGTATTGGGTTGTATACAGTGGCATCTTCTTTTGATAATTCTGCATAGTGATTTTATATTCAATTCAAATGGTAAAACACCTCATCGTTTAGTCGTCTAATACATGGCTTAAACAACTTCATAGTTGGAATTATAGGTACTCACTGCTCTGGTGTCCAGAAAAGAATGTCACTCCTAAATGGTTTTGTGCTGGACAAAACTCAGGCGCCCCCCGACCCCCCTCCCCATCCCCCGCGCGTGACCCCCACACATCCCTCCCCCCCGCCTTCTAAATACACACACACACACACACACACACATTTACTGACAGATACGCATACACGAGCTAACAGAAACACACACTCACAGACACACACTCACTCACTAGCAGACACACACTAGCAGACACACACACCCACTGTCACACTCACAGGCAAACATACACACACAGTCAGACACACACACACAAACAAACACACTCACTGACTAGCAGACACACACACTCACTGAAACACACACTCACTAACAGACACACACACTCACAGGCAAGCACACACTCACTAACAGACACTAACAGACACACACTAGCAGACACACACACTCACTGACACAAACAGGCAAACACACTCACACTAACAGTCAGACACACACACTCACTAACAGACACACACACTAACAGACACACACACTAACAGACAAACTCACACACACACTAACAGACATACACACACACTCACTCTCCTTACCTTTGGGAGTGCTGGGGGGGGAAGTGGTTCACTATCTCCCTGGGGGTCCAGTGGCTGCTGGGCGGGCAGGCGGCTGGCGAGGGAGCACTTCCCCTGAGCACTCTGCTCAGCTTCCTCGCGCGCCTCAGAGTGAGGCTGGGAGCCGGAATATGACGTCATATTCCGGCTCCCAGCCTCACTCTGCGGTGCGCGAGGGAGCTGAGCAGACCGCTCAAAGGAAGATCTCCCTCGCCAGCTGCCCGCCCAGCCCAGCATGTCAGTTAGCCGCTAGGCTAACAAGGCATTTGCCCTGGGCATTTGGGGGGCGTCTTTTTTTGCCGCCCCCTGGAAAATGCAGCCCAAGGTAAATGCCTTGTTAGCCTCGCGGCTAAAACGTCCCTGGTTGTATATATTCTGAAAGTATGTTTAATTCTTTTATACAATACCAATTACAGGGAGAAAATCTGTGCATATATAACATACCACTTTCTCTTTCCAGCCAACTATATGAACACCTGCCCTAAAACCTTGAACTACACCTACTCTGTTACAACTTGCCAACCAACATGTCGCTCACTTAGTGAACCTGATGTTACCTGCAATATACAATTTGTTCCTGTGGACGGTTGTACCTGCACGAAGGGCTACTACATGGATGACAGTGGGAAATGTGTTTTGGCTGATGCTTGCCTTTGTTACTACCAGGGGTCTGCTGTACCTTCAGGAGAAGTTGTGTATGACAATGGAATTCAGTGGTGAGTAGACATGTAAATTATAATTATTTATTTTCTAAGTTACCTGATTTGTTGAGAAGAACAAAGCTAATAGATATTACCCTACCTCCACATTGAAATGTTATTTTGCCTTTGTGTGGCAGGAATTGAACACACAGGTTATAATTATACAATGGAATGCAACATGAATTTCAAATTTTAGGCCAAAGTAGCCAAACTTGAAGCATAGCTGACTTGATTTTACACTGATTTTTCACATTCTAAAGAATGGTGAAAGCCTATGTATTCCACTGAAAACATTATTAAACACCATTATATAACTATGAACCATATGACTGATTCCTGCACAAATAGGCAAAGTAACATTTCAACGCAGAGGTAGGTATCCACATTGTTTAAAAAAAAATATGCACTCTCAATAGAACAGTAATGAACATTTTTAAATACCAATCAAATTGTATTATATGTTTCTTTGGAATGTAAACTGTCCTTGTCATTCTGATTCACAGCACTTGCACTCAAGGACAATTAAGTTGTATTGGAAGTCCTGTACCAGGTAAAGAGTTCAACATCCTCATATTTTTATTCTTTAGTTCGTAGCAGTATTATGAGCATAGCCAGTTTAATTATATCCTTTATACTAGGTCTAATTACTGTTTTTGCATCGTCAAATAAAAAGTGAACTTTTGTAATTGTGTCTTCTTCCCAGCATGCTCTGCTCCAATGGTTTATTTTGATTGTAAAAATTCTTCATACGGCACCCGGGGAGCTGAATGTCAGAAGAGTTGTCAGACTTTGGATATGGAATGTGTAAGTATTTACATCTTGGCCTTAGCTTCTCAAATGGAGCTTAGCCTGAGATTAGGTCCCCAGACTGCATGAAGGTGATCCTTGCATTATTTCTCATTCATTACAGTAGATAATTGCACAGGTGATGTCATTATCTCTTCAGGATGGGTTTCCAAATTTTGAAATAATGAGAAAATCATGCTTTCGATAAATAAAGGAACATGTTAATACATATATAATTGTTCAGCATGTTAAAAATAAACAATATATACATATCTCATAATTGACATATTGTGAAATATTTATCGTGTTAACTAGGAATGATTTTGCTCTATAGATGAAAAAGATTATTTAGTTTCCAATATATTATGTGTATTTTAAATATTATTTTGCTATAGTAAAACTGCTTAATATTTTGGTACCACTCCTTCACGTATACAGTTATTTTGTTTAAACTTCTATATGTTCATTCCATTTGTGTTTTTACAGTACAGTACCAAATGTGTCTCTGGATGTGTGTGTCCTGAAGGGCTGGTATCAGATGGGGAAGGAAAATGCATTGCAGAAGATCAGTGTCCATGCATTTACAATGATGCCACCTATCAACCAGGGGAAAAAGTCAAAATAAAATGCAACACCTGGTATGTTTGATCATGCTAACTAATGATTGGAAAATAAGAACCTAAAATGTTTTTATTTTATATAAGAATATATTTAAATCAAGGGAATACTTGTAGCTTTTGCATGCTGTTTAAATGATTTTTGTATAAAGCTCTATTTTTTTTTTTTTTTCGATTTATCACAGTCTGGTCTGGTGTCACAATGGCTTTCTGAAAAGACTTTAACAGGGTTTTTCACTAAAAAAAATTTTTTAATTCAAAGGGAATATAAAGTGTTCCACATTTCAGGTCAAGTATTGGCTTATAGCCTTATGTATACTGTGAAACCCTTTGCATAACCATTTTTTTTGTTAATTTTACAATAATTCTGAATGTCATTGGAAAGTGGAGCTTCAGCTTTTGAATCTCACTAAAATAAATTTAGGGAAATGAGACGATGTGATGTCAAACATTAGGAAAACATGTATATTGACTCAAATGTATCATTCCAGAGAATCGTGCGAATAGTATGTTAATTATGAATTGTCTGAAGTTTTCCTTTTCATAAATATATATTTTTTTACATAAATAAATAAAAATCCATATAAAACCTATAAAACATACAAACTATTAATAATGTAAATGCGTTCTTGTCTACGTCCTAGGTTAAAAAATTATTAATATAACAGTTCCTATTTGGAAAAACAAAATGTGTGCAAAGAACAATTATACATGACATTTAATGCATCTGTCTTTTGTTTTCTAAAGTACTTGCAAAGACAGGATTTGGCAATGTACCAGTGAGCCATGTCTTGCAACCTGTACTGTCTACGGCAATGGGCACTATATTACCTTTGATGGAAAACGTTATACTTTTAATGGAGACTGTGAATATACTCTTGTTCAGGTACAACATGATTAGCCATTTTTTGGGGAGACATTATGTCAAGGTGTGTTACAACAGATAAACAGATAAACATTACTGTGGACTATGTTTATATTGTCCGATCTCTTATTTTACTTCAGGATCACTGTGGTAAAAGTGGGAACAGTAGCACTTTCCGAGTTATCACTGAAAACATTCCTTGTGGAACCACTGGTACAACATGCTCCAAAGCCATCAAGGTCTTCCTTATAGTAAGTAGAGCAATTAATTCAAAGGATTGGCAATGTATAATTCAGTTTAAATAGCTTTTAACTGGTATGAAATTCTAGCTTTGCTGTACTTAGATGTCCATGTAAGTATCAGTTTGGGTTCTAAATTCAGCTTAATAATTTCAGATTTTACAGATATGTTTCACTAGACTCAAAATGGATAACACATTTTATGATTTCAAGGGATCAATGCTTCAAAATTGTCTGATTCCCTGCTTCATTATTCTATATTTCCATGTAGAGCTATGAGATAATCCTCACTGATGAGAAAATTGAAGTAATAGAAAGATGCATTGGAGGAGAAGTTAACTACAAGGTCAGACACATGGGTATCTATCTTGTGATTGTAGCTGACAATGGACTTATCCTAATGTGGGATAAAAGGACAAGCATCTTTATCAAGCTGAGTAAAGATTTTGAGGTAAGAACAGCATTACCCATTCAGATCTGTTGATCTGTGTGTCAGGAATACAAATTGATCCAGCACGTAGAACTGTATCATACCTAGGACTAACAGGTAACATGTTACCGGGCCTTAGAATGGCTGGACTTAACGTACCCGAGAATAGTCAGAATACTTGCCAAGGTCAGGGATACAGAAAGAGACACCACGATGAGGGAAAGTCAAAAGTCAGGGATACCAGAATACAGGGAAGTCAAAACGAAGCCAAAGTCAAATACCAGAAATAAACGCTCAGGAACACAATCTCAGACAACCACTAAGGGAAACCACAACAGGGCAATGAGCAGAAGGAATAGGCAAGCTTAAATACCCCTCTTGTGGATGCGATTGGCCATAACCGGCCTTTGACCCCAGAATGTGCGTGTGCGTCCATTGCATTACTGGGGCTGATGTGGGGTTTAATTAGGAACTGGTCCGCAGGGGCCGGCATCCTTCAATATGCCACAGGAGTCAGATTTACTGGCACAGGGTTGCCAAGCAGTACCTTCATTAATGCCAGGAGGGCATTCGTTACTGTGGGCACCACAAGGTGAGGCTGAACATGGGACACTATGCAAGACTATTAAAAAGACAAAATACTTGTAAATTATCTTGTGCTATTCATTATCTTTCTTAATGGGTGAACCTGGGTCCAGACGGAGGTTGAGAATGCATCTATGGGCACTCTAAGCCATGTAAAATAAATGTTAAATTATTGGATAACTTTTATACTTGATCAACTTGATCAAACTTAAGCTTGAGACCAGTTCCCAAATGTCAACTGTTGAGATAAGTTTCCATTGATAGAGACTGAAGTTGGTAATTCTCAGACATGCTTAAAGTATAGTAAATTTAAAAATAATTCCTAATTATAATAATATTTTGGGTTTTATTGACTGTCGTCCTAGACAGAGTTCTGCTGTAACCAGAGTTCAATGAATACACAATGTATATTTAAATGTGCATTCAAATATTTAAAATTAGACATTACTGACAATTAACATTAATTGCAAATCATATGAATTTATTTAACTATTTTTTTTCATTATTTTTAATTCTAAGGGAACTGTGTGTGGTCTCTGTGGTAATTATGATGGAGATGGCAACAATGACTTTACTACCAGGAGTATGTCTGTGGTTGGAGATGTAACTGAGTTTGGCAATAGCTGGAAACTCTCGCCAACATGCCCTGATGCCCAACTACTCAAAGATGCATGCTCAGCTAACCCATATAGGAAATCATGGGCTCTGAAACAGTGCAGTATCATCAACAGTCCAGCATTTTCTGCCTGTCACTATCAAGTGTGTTTTTCTTTCTTTTTTTACTCCCAGTTCTGTACCATTGCTATATAGCTTATTGGATGCATGGCTTTGTCAGTAGTTAAAATTGTTGATTTTTAATACTTGGCAATTATAGCACTTCACAAATGTTTGGCCAAAGCTTTAGAATACAACATGTTCTAGTAAACTCACAAATCTCTGTATTTGGTCAGGTTGATCCATCAATGTACTATGATGCTTGTGTTACTGACTCATGTGCTTGTGACACTGGTGGGGAATGTGAGTGTTTCTGTACAGCTGTTGCTGCCTATGCCCAAGTATGTGGAGAATATGGAGTCTGCATTTCCTGGAGGACTCCATCTATCTGCCGTGAGTATCTCAAGCGAGTCAATTTAAAGAATAATTGAAATAAATATGAATTATTTCACAGTACATATTAAAAGATGCAACATTGTACATTCAAGGTGGATTCAAGGTCAATTTAAAATCTAGGGCCAAAGTAGCTAAACTGGACTGGAAGCTAAACTAGGCCGAGAAGCATAGATGACTTGGAGAATTTGTCCAGTTCAACTACTTTGCATTGAAATTTAAAATTCACTTTAAATTTACCTTGAATTCCTGACATTTTTCCCTGATATAAAACTCTTGTTTCTAATAAATTACTTTTATTTATTATATCTGCAGCTGTGTTTTGTGATTACTACAATCCTGAAGGAGAATGTGAATGGCATTACAAATCATGTGGATCTCCATTCTTGAAGATCTGCAAAAATCCAAGTGGGAAATATCTCCATGAGCTCTCAGGTTTGGAAGGTAAGGTGTCAGAATATCATCATATACTAATTTTTTATTATGGCATAGATAGTATAGCATACATGCTAAATATGCCATGGTCATTAATTGCATGCCTTATTCTCGGGAAGTTTGCAATTGTAAAATTGAAAACGTATTATTTTCCTTTCTTCATATTCATATTACTTAGCAGCATGTGTTATTCTCAAATAGGCTGTTATCCCAGTTGTCCAGCAGCTAAACCATTCTTTGATGAGGATACAATGGAATGTGTTGCTCAGTGTGGCTGCTATGATAATAAGGGGACACTCTACAAAGTTGGTTCTCCAGTACCCCTCTCGGACAACTGTCAATCCTGGTAAGATCCTTGAAAATATTTTTCTTAAGAATAGTAATGTATGGTCTGTATGTGAAATACATTCTTTGTCAAAAGTTATTTCATCATAGATTTTCCCTAAATTGTAAGGCATAGTCTACAGTATCTGATAACTAACTAATCTTGCAATTATTTAATGATTTAAATAATGTTTTCCCCAACAGTTTATGCACACTGACCGGCATTGTCTGCGAGTATGATAAAGAAGGTAATGCTAAAATAAGATTTCAAGAACATTTCTTGATACGTGTAAGATAAGACTTAAATTGAATAATTTTCTTTTTTTGGTTATAGGTTACTTTGGTAACCTTATTTGGTTAGGTTAATTGAGGGTATGCTTGCTTAGATAGGTCAGTTTAGCTATAGTACCTATTTAAACATCAATGTGGTAGGCTTTAGCTTCATCATGGCTAGCTCTACATCCCTTTGATGTCCCTCCAAAGAATACAATTATCATAACAGTTTGGCAAAGTGTGAGAGCATTCTCCAGAATTTACTTTGAGTCATATTGGTTAAATATTTATTCATTCAGTCATCTTAAAAAAAAACATTTTTTATTGTAACACAAGCTAGTAAAGTATGTAATTAATTGACCAATCAAAAAAACATGATTAACAAATTAATATATGCAAATATAAAAGCCAAATGAAGTTTCACAAAATGCTTTAAACACCTGGCTACAATTAAGAAAAGGTCTCCATGTTTTTTTTAAAATGGTATGTTAAACCTGTGATGGTTCTCTTAGCTGCTATGTTTTTAACATAGAAACATAGAATGTGACGGCAGATAAGAACCATTCGGTCCATCTAGTCTGCCCAATTTTCTAAATACTTTCATTAGTCCCTGGTTTTACCTTACAGTTAGGATAGCCTTATGCCTATCCCACGCATGCTTAAACTCCTTTACTGTGTTAACCTCAACCACTTCAACTGGAAGGCTATTCCATGCATCCACTACCCTCTCAGTAAAGTAATACTTCCTGATATTATTTTTAAATGTTTGCCCCTCTAATTTAAGACTATGTCCTCTTGTTGTGGTAGTTTTTCTTCTTTTAAATATAGTCTCCTTCTTTACTGTGTTGATTCCCTTTATGTATTTAAATGTTTCTAACATATCCCCCTTTGTCTCGCCAAGCTATACATGTTAAGTTCCTTGTAAGGTTTATCATGCAATCCATGAACCAGTTTAGTAGCCCTTCTCCGAACTCTCTCTAAAGTATCAATATTAATATCCTTTTGGATATTGGATACTGGTACAATACTCCAAGTGAGGTCTCACCAGTGTTCTGTACAATGGCATGAGCACTTCCCTCTTTCTACTATTAATACCTATCCCTATACAACCAAGCATTCTGTTTTCATTCATTTATTTATTTATACATTTATGTAATTATATATTTATGTATTGCTTATTTTTCATGATAGCTTGTTATTGTGAATACAATTGTAAAATGTACAAATACAATGAAGTTATTTACAACACCACGGATGGTATTGGAGGTTGCATTATTGCTAGATGCAAGGAAAATGGTACAATCTACCGCTATATCTATGAATGTACTTCTGCTAGACCATCCACTACATTCATGTTTACAACCACTCCTTCCACAAAAAAAACAGGTAGGCTATATAAATGAAAAAAGATATGTACTAGTGCTTGTTGTTAATAAATGAAATTATAGTGGCATTCCAGAAAAGAATATTACTTTGTAGCAGCCAAACACCAAATAATGTTATTTTCCCAAATATCACCTAATAATTACACTTCTTCTTCTACAGGCTATATTAATGTTATTTGTGACTATGGTTAAATGTATATTAAATATGTCTAAACAAGACAACTACTTAGATGCCAGTGTAATGCTCATCACTTATTCTTCCTGATTTGGATACAATACCAGTTGGAATATGAAATTTGGCTTACTCTCAGGGTTGTTTGGGAAATTTTGGGTTTTGTTTACTGTTCCAGCACAGGGCTTTGCAGCATCTACATTTTCTGCAGAATTTTTTTCTACAAAATAGCTCTGCAACCTGGCCGTAAGAAAGGATTTAAGCAATGGTTAGGTTGATTGGCCTCACTATAGTGTTAGCCCTGTGACCTTTAATGAGATCTACATATTAGTAACCCTGCTTACTATTGTATATAAAAAGTAAACATTTATCCAAATATAATTTTTTTTCCTCCTCATTCTCCTGAACATCTACCTTGGTTTTTTTATTATCTAAAAATAACTAAAATTGCAACTTAGTTCTTTAAATACAAGACACTTAAGAATTGCTCAGAACGATACAAGTTGGATTCTCCTTGTAAATGAAATGTTTTATACTGCTTACTGAATAGCAGTTCTCTTATTGGTTTCAGTAGGGGATTGCTATAGATTGTAAGCTCTTTCGAGCAGAGTGAACCTATTTTTCTATAGCATTTGTAATTGTCACATCTATAGTTTTATCTCACACTTTATAATATTGTAAAAGTATATTATAAAGGATATGGGAAAAACAGTAATAAATGGTGCTAATATCACTAAGTGTGAATCACTCAACCACACAAAATCAAAGTGCATAAGAAATAATAAAATAGTGAGAGCACACTATACATGCAAAAAGCTATATTACCAGTATTTCCTTAGGTAAATAGCTAAAACATAAAAAAAGGGAGAAGAAAAAAGAGAACATAGGGTAATATTGTTTACACTGTATACAATAACCATATATAATTAGTTGCACTCACATGCTCCTGAGTAACTTATATAAGCTGACTCAGACTAAGGGCTTTGATCAGAGATGAAATCCTTAATACTGGACACCTTGTATTGATATGCAGGTTAAGAATGAGCTGTCTCTGGCGATCTCTGGATGTCTGATTCAAATTATTCCAGGATACTGGATCTCATTAAATCTCATTAAAACTTTTATTTGCTCAAAATTCAAAAAGAAACAATTAAAATCAATTACAAGTAAACTTAAGTCCATATAAATTACCACGACGCGTTTCGGCAGAGAAGCCTTTTTCAAGTGGTATTACAGGTCCATCTCCGAGTTGCCCCTTTATACTGTGTAACATTAGCGCTCTTTCCCGCGCTCTCCGTCTCTCTTTGTTTCCGCTTTCGTCATCTAGCGTCGACGGACGTGTCCCACACGTCATGACGTCATCCCGGCATTGTATACCGGAAGTATCCTCGATGCCATCTTTATTCCTCTAACTGTTGCTTTATATAAATGATGATGATGATAATAATAATAAATATGCAGAGCAAATCCTTATTCTGCTTAGAGAATTCAGCATTAAAATACACCTAATAATACACAACAATAACTCTGTATCAACAATGAATATATGCCATATGAACACACACAGATATACTCATTTTCGTAAGTTTTCAAATAATTACAACAAATTGTTAATTATCTTTTAGGCTATTATCTTTTAAGGCTATAAACCATCTTCCGAAAATCTATAGATTTCATAACTCACACAACCAAAGGCTTAATCACTAAATAAAACCATACCCCTACTTCACATAGAAAAAGTTACAGTAGCATACATTGGTACACTAAATGCATTTCATAAATTATAAGGCATATATATTTGTAATCCACAGCATTTTGCTATATTAGGATGTTATTAGAATTTAAAGTACCACCCCCAAATAAATAATAATAGCCAATAATAACATCAACAACCACTAAAAGGATGCTTGATGGTGTTGTGACAATAAAATGTATATATCACATTAATTCCCCTTCATTAACAGCAAAATATTGCAATATAAGAAATATTATTTTGTTGAGTATAAACAAATAAATTTAAAATTACATTATTTACATTATTTTTGTTATCCCTGAAAAGCAATCAATGCACACACTTTCTGTTTAACATGTTTTTTTTTTACCTATGCATTCCATATTTAATATGATTTTTTAATTTTATATGAAAATTACGTGTTTGTGAAGGAGTTAAGAAAAGTGATCAAACATACAGTCAAGTATTGTGAGGATTTTTCAACTTTTGACCAATTTTACAATACTTTTTCTTTACATGATACAGAAACTACTACTCCTATCAGTACTATCTGTGTTAAAGAGGAATGCACATGGTCAATTTGGTATGATGTCAGCTATCCTACTATTGATGCTGGAGATTTTGAGACATACACAAATATAAGGGCTAAAGGATATTCTGTCTGCAACCATCCACAAGAAATACAATGCAGAGCTAAAATATTCCCTGATACTCCTCTGAATTATCTAAAACAGAATGTGCAATGCAATGCTTCGTTTGGACTGCTATGTTACAACAAGGAGCAATTCCCACCTATCTGTTACAACTACGAGATAAGAGTAAAATGTTGTAGCTTTGTGCCTTGTGTCACTGTTTCTACAACTGTTACCACTATAACTGAACAATCAACTACCACTGACAGTTCTACAGCACCTACAAGTAGTACAGAAACAACCACTGCCACTACAACTCCAATTCCTTCCACAACACCTTCAACTACTACAGAAACAACAACTACTACAGAAACAACCACTGCCACCACAACTCCAATTCCTTCCACGACAACAACCTCAACCACAACACCTTCAACAACTACAGAAACAACAACTAGTACTACATCTCAACCTTCAACCACTGCCACAACTACAACAACAGTTGAGACAACATCTCCTACAACCTCAGAACCAACAACACCATTTATTACAACTACTTGCTACTGCCATGTTGATAACTTTTTCTTCTTACCAGGTATTTTTTACATTTAAATTTTTTTTTATCTTTTATTAGTAGTAGTATTAGAATTATTATTCAAACAAAAATCTTTATTATGATAAATGGTATATCATTTTATTTTTAATCATAAACCTTACTAATCATGTTGTTATTCTGATTGATGGTGGATATAGTTATGAATAATATAAAATGTTATTCCATATAAAGCTAGAAATAAGAAATATGGTTTGTGAGCATTTATTTTGCAACCAATAAGGAATCAATGTCTTGATTTCTATTAGCCAGCAAACGGTTGAGTTTTTTATTGTTAATAATGGTCTACACATGTTTAATAAACTCCTCCCAAATATTATTTACCTACAAACATGTTTTTCAATTTTATGTTACAGGGGAAGTTATATACAATATGACTGATGAAGCTGGATGCTATTTCTATGCCATCTGCAATAAAGAATGTGAACCTGATAGGTTCCAGGGACCATGTCCAACAACAACTCTTTCACCTCCCACTTTCACCACTCCAGTGCCAACAACATCCACAACTACTACTAAATTTACAACACCAAAGACACTGCCAACATCCACAACTGAGACAACGACTACTATGTCTACAACATCAAAGACACTGCCAACAACCACACATCAGACAGCAACTACAGTCAAGACTACAACCACATGTGAAGGTTGTCCTCCCAGACATGTAAGATGATTTATTATAAATGATGATATTTATTTAAATTATAGCTATAGCTCTACAGATCTCTACTTATTTAATACTAGGTTGCAAATCTATTACATAAGAACAAGTAGTAACATTTTCATAAATTTTAATTGTCAACCTCAGTGTAATAGTTTAAAGGGACACTCTACTTCCCAATTGAAGAAAAAAAAATTGTTTATTCGATATACCCCAAATTAAAATATGGGTGTATTACATTATGCATTTTTTCATTGGAGTCTATAACTAAAACAGCTTGCAAAACCTGTAGTTTTCTTATTGTTGCCTTTGAAATCACCTTTTTAACCAAGAGCATACTTCCTGTGACTGTCAATCACAGACTTTGCAATGCAGCTCGTTGAGAAGTTTTTGCAAGGCAGGTGCTCTGTGCAATTGCCTCCTCTTGAATTAAGCTCCACTGATCTAAACAAACCAGGACAAAACATTGTTTGATTGAAAGAAGTCAGGGAGTGTAACACGGTTCATTTATAAAAGTGTCAACATTCATTGAAATCTGCACTTTTGTAAAAAATAAATAGATAAGAGAACATACTTTACACATAAATCATTTCAGCAACGAAAGTACCTTAGGGGTCCAGCTAGCTGTGGTAATTACTTAAATATTTTGAATCACACCAATAATTATATTTATGATTTATTTATATAGATAATAGATAAGAAAATTAGTTTGTTTGAATTGAATTTTGTGAACACATTTTGTCTCCTTTTATAGAAAAATGAAACCTGCTTGATAAACAATTGCACAGTTGCCACATGCCAAGGGAACAACGTTCTCACAATTGAGCCAGTTTTATGTCCACAAGTAGAAAAACTGAACTGTACAAATGGCTTCCCACCTGTCAAGGTGTTCAGTTCTGATGGATGTTGTTACCATTATGAATGCCAATGTAAGTGGAGTAAAAAATCAGGAAAGCAAGAAGAAAAAACTGGGCTTTAGTGCCCAGTGGGTACAGTTCCTACTTTGTAGCCATATTTTATTTTGGTGTTCTGACAATGCTGAAAAAGAAATCAGTTCCCTCACAACACAAATATTTTTTTCCAAACTCCCTTCTTTTCTGGTTGTTTTATGAAAGTGATTATGCCAGGATAAGATATCAAATTGCACACTGACTGAGTAACTTAAAATACACTACTTGGGAGCAAGAAATACATATTTGTGTGGCTGGTGGTACAAATCTCCTAGTTCTCTTGGTGTGTTCCTTTGTTCAGCCATTGTGAGAAGAAGATAATTAAGATGAATGGTGTATGTGTAATGGTATTTGTGGATCCTTGTGGACCCTTGAAAATCTTGTAATGTTCTTGTAAATATCTGTTTTACAATTAATGGCTATATGTAGTATTCAAATAGTTTTATTCCAACCAATTTTTCATTTACATGGTATTTGATATACCAAATTTAATTTTTTACCAGGGCATTAAATATTTACCTGGAAGGAGCCATTAACATGTAAATGAGGCTAAGGCAACCTTTGGGACTCCGGATGTTTGTTGTCTACATATCCACAACATCTGGATACTTTGTCAGCATTATTGATGTAGGAGCATTATGGGAGATGTAGTTCACAGCATCTGGAGTGCTCAAGGTTGCTCACACCTGGACTAGACTATCAATTGATGTTAATCTATATTGTGTTTACATTGTTTTAACTTTTGCAGGTGTCTGCAGTGGTTGGGGAGACCCTCATTATATAACTTTTGATGGAACCTACTACACTTTCCTAGAAAACTGCACTTATGTTCTTGTACAACAGATTACCCCCAAATTTGACAACTTCCGTGTTCTTGTGGATAATTACTTCTGTGATGCTGATGATGGTTTGTCTTGTCCTCAGTCTATTCTAATTTACTACAATTCCAATGAAGTAGTGCTAACTAATACTCTGTACAATGGAAGAATGACCAACAGAGTAAGTGTGGGAAGTTACATAGTTACATAGTAATATAGCTAAAAAAGACTCAAGCCCATCAAGTTTAGTTTTTCACATATATGTATTACTGCTGCTTATCCAAAAGAATCTGATGATCCCAATTTGATGTTCTTTCAAATAGTGATTTACAAATAAGGAAATACGATCTTTACTGATGCAAACTGAAAGTCAGAATTTTCCCTGGAATATCAAGCTGTTGTCATGTATATTATTATTGTATCACTATTACATCCCGACCTGGCTCAGCACAACTCCTAATCCAAACATAGAAACATAGATAGAAACATAGAATGTGACGGCAGATAAGAACCATTCGGCCCATCTAGTCTGCCCAATTTTCTAAATACTTTCATTAGTCCCTGGCCTTATCTTATAGTTCGGATAGCCTTATGCCTATCCCACGCATGCTTAAACTCCTTTACTCTGTTAACCTCTACCACTTCAGTTGGAAGGCTATTCCATGCATCCACTACCCTCTCAGTAAAGTAATACTTCCTGATATTATTTTTAAACCTTTGTCCCTCTAATTTAGGACAATGTCCTCTTGTTGTGGTAGTTTTTCTTCTTTTAAATATAGTCTCCTCCTTTACTGTGTTGATTCCCTTTATGTATTTAAATGTTTCTATCATATCCCCCCTGTCTCGTCTTTCCAAGTTATACATGTTAAGATCCTTTAACCTTTCCTGGTAAGTTTTATCCCGTAATCCATGAACCAGTTTAGTAGCCCTTCTCTGAACCATACTCCAATTGAGGTCTCACCGGTGTTCTGTACAATGGCATGAACACTTCCCTCTTTCTACCGCTAATACCTCTCCCTATACAACCAAGCATTCTGCTAGCATTTCCTGCTGCTCTATTACATTGTCTGCCTACCTTTAACTCATCAGAAATAATTACCCCTAAATCCCTTTCCTCATATGTTGAGGTTAGGACTCTATCAAATATTCAAACATAGAAGCACCTGTGTGGATGAGAAAACGTTTGCGGGGATTAGGAGCAGCCAGCACAGAGGCATTTATCAGGGCTTTCTTCAGGGCTTGGAATGCCTGCTCATACTCTGGGGCACAGTTTTCCTGTCTGGGTAGGTTGTTTTGGGTCAGGTCGGTGAGGGGCTTGGCTATGGCACTGTAGTTGGAGACAAATTTCCCATAGTCTCCAGCGGTCCCTAAGAAGGCCAACACCTGGGTATTTGTGTGGGGAGGGGCCAGTTCACCACTGCCTCAACCTTGGCTGACTCAGGTTTCTGCTTCCTACACCTGACCCAGTGGTTCAGGTACTGTATCTTGGCCATCCCTATGTTGCATTTACAGGGCTTGAGGGTTAGTCCTGCCTTCTTAATACGATCTAGGACAACTCCTACATGTGTCAGGTGTTCCTCCCAAGTGTCGCTGTATATAGTTTGCGAGGGAATAATCATGGAAGCCATCCAACAGCCGGTCCACCATCTGAATGGCATGACCTTAAATTGGTACAGGCCAAAGGGGGTGATGAAGGCTGACTTGGGGACAGCATCTACCACCAGGGAAATCTGCCAGTACCCCTTGCATAAGTCTATTGTGGTGAGGTACTGCACCTGATCCATCCTTTCTAGGAGCTTCTCGATGCAGGGCATGGGGTATGCATTGGAGACCGTCTTGTCGTTTAGCCTCCTGTAGTCCACACAGAACCTGGTGGTTCCATCCCAATTCAGGATCAGGACTACTGGGGAGGCCCAAGGGCTCTGGAACAGTTTGATCACCCCCAGTTGGAGCATCTCCTGGATCTCCTGCTGAATATTTTCCTGGACCGCCTTCGGTATCCGGTATAGGGTCTACCTCAGGAGTTGCTGGTTGGGAGTCTCCAACCGGTGGGTGGCTAGTGGGGTACAGCTTGGCAGGTTTTATCAGGTCTCCCTCTTTGCAGCCAACAGGTGCCTCACTTGCAGGTGCTCCTGCTTGGTCAGCCGGTCCCCCATGTGGACCACGTCTATGGACCATGCTTGAGCTCCATGCTCCAGAAGGTCAGGCAGGGAAAGATTATTATAATCTTCCGAGGCAGGTGCACATATATCGGTGACCTCCTCTGCTCGTGGTATGGCTTCAGCATGTTAACCTGAAACATGCGAGTAACTTATGTATGCTGGACCTGTGGTCCCTGGCTCCCTTATTGTACCAGGTGTGCTGGTGCCTCTGAGCCGCCTGGAGGTTCCCACGCACCAGATGAGCGAGCTCCTTCAGCCGATCTCTAAGCTACAGCACATATGGGACAATGGGGGTCACTTCCTGCTCCCCCTTTCCCTCCCCGTGCTCCCTGAGGTTCTAGGGGCCCCATCACCCTCCGACCGATCATCAGTTCAAATGGGGAAGTCATGCTTACTCACATTTCTGGCCATGTTCCTACTTCCGGTCTCCACTCCAGCAGTTCCAACGCCGTCCGCTGTAGCTCCTCCCCCTTTTATGACACAGCATGTGCACGCCGATGTTCTGATGCTAGTGACGACATTGCATCGCGTGCGTGCCGATGCCATGACGCAAATTACGTCACGGCCCGCCAAAACGTTCAAACTTGGACATTTTGGGGGCGTGGCTTCAAATTTAAAGGTTCAGCCTATAAAAGGCAGATTCAACCATAGTTCTTTGCCCCATTGTGGTTCTATTCACAGTTCCCAATAGTGCTTTGCCTTTCAGTGTATTCTTGTGTTTTGATCTCGGTTTCCTGACTATTCTTACTTCTGTGTTCCTGTCCCGGCTTTGGTATCTCGCTACTGTATTTCTGGTTCCCTTGACTTGGCTTGTAATCCCCGATTCTGTGACCTCTGACACTCTTGACCTTGGCTTGTTCCTAACCATTTTTTATCTGTCTAATGTTAAGTCCAGCCATTCTAAGGCCTGGTATACGTTTTCTTTCACATCCTGCGTGTTGGGTCTCTAAGGATTCTTGACAGGGAGAACCCTGTGGATTCCTGGAGCACCTCCCAATAGGCAAACAGCAGATGTGGCAGTAATCTCTCCCAGTCTTTGGGAGTTGTGTCAAAGGTACTGAGCATCTGCTTCAATGTGCCATTGAAGCGTTAGCACAGGCCATTAGTCTATGGGTGGTATGGGGAACTCAGGATCAGTTAAATGCTGCATAACCTCCACAGCTGGTGGGTTACCTCGGCAGTACACTGGGTGCCCTGATCTGAGACGATTTCTCAGGGAAAACCCATCCGTGAGAACAACACTCGCATCAGGTCTTTGGCTACAGTCTCTGCTTGAATATTGCGCAAGGCGACTGGCTCCAGGTACCGAGTTGCGTAGTCCACAATGGTCAGAATGTATTTCTTTCCAGAGGGACTAGGCTTAGACAGAGGGCCTATGATATCAACAGCTACTCTGCCAAAGGGGTCTTCAATGATGGAGAGTGGCCTTGTGCTGGTCGCCCCGATTCCCCACCTTCTGGCAGACATCGCAGGACTGACAGTATCGCTTCACAACCTGGGAGATACCGGGCCAGAAGAGGCTTTGGGTGAGTCGGACGTGTGTCTGACCATGTCCCAAATGCCCTGTCAGGGGGATATCGTGAGCTATCTTCAGTATCGCCTTTCGATACTTCCTGGGTATCACCAACTCTTTGGTGGTAGGAGCAGTCCCTGGCTTTCCTTTTTCTACCAGGTGATGCAGTAACATGAACCCACTCCTTATCCAGCCCAGCTTGACAAGTGGCCACCCGATTTTTACAGGAATCCAGCGAAGGGTCGGACACTTCCTCCCTCCCAAACTCGGTAGGGGTGTCGGGGTAGGCGAAAGGCCACGGGGAATTGGGTGAGGAGGGCTGGCATGGGGTTGGCTCCGGGGACACTTATGGGAAATCAGGGCAGGAGGATGGTTGCGTGTGCCTACCTGAGCCTCAGAGTGTCAGCGGTCCTGGGTGGTGCGGGCTTGCTGACAGGTCACCACTGGATAGGCCTCTGCAGTTTTGCTGGTGGGGATGTAGGTCATTGCCCTGCAGCCCATCGGGGTCCCTGTGTGAAACCAAGCAAGAAAAATATCTCCTTTTAGGATACGTATGCTCCCCCTGGTTGGCGCTCATCTATGAGAATGGTGGCCACCCAGGGAAGCACTCATTAATTACTTCCCTTGCGGTTTCACACTTATGTTGCGAGTTGTTATCGTTCTAATTGATTGGTGTGAACATTCCAATGGGCACTAGGGAACATTCCTGGATGGCGTTCGTCTATACAAACTGGCGGCCACCCAGAGGACGGCACACGTCAAGGCTTCCCTTGCGGTTTAGGGCATCAGGTCGAGGCAAGAACGTTCTAATGAGCATTCTAAATGGATTATTGGGATGGTCTTTGTTTGGGAGGTGAATGGATTCCATTCGTGGAGGCACTCCTGAATGGGGTGCAGGCAATTTGCACAAATACACAGTGTATTACACATGATAAAGACAAGGGTGAATACACGAAAAGCCAGGGTTCCGTCACATTCAGGTTTTTTTTTCCAGAAAAGCATTGATATGTTTTTTTAAATCCATACTGAAGCTGATAAAACATCTTGATAATCTCATATCTTTATTTTTTCATACTATAAAGAACCCTTTCCTCTGCTTTTGGTTGAAAATCTCATCTGTACATGGGTGACATCTTGTCCTTTGAACAGTCTTGTTTAAGAACAGGTTACCTGTATATGTCTCAATAATGTTATTATATCACAATGAAGATCTTTCTTCTAAAGTAAACTATTTCACATTTTCTAGTCTTTCTTCATAATTAAAATCTTCACTTTCTCAAATTAATTTTGTTGATCACCTCTGCACTCCTTCTAGTTCCATAATATCCATCTTTAAAATATATCCTCAAAATGGTACTACATATTCAAAGTGGAGTCTTACAATACATGCTTAAAGAGGTAATATCATTTAAATAAAAAATAAAAAAATACCTGTGTTATGCCTGACAATACTTCACTGGCCTCAGAAATTGTTGCATGATATAGAAAATCATTGCTTTATCAGTTATCTATAACTTTTACAAAGTCCTTTTCATTTATTGTTTTCCTTAACTTAGTACGATGTAGGGTATTAGTTTCTTGTGCATTTTTATTTCCAAAATGCATAATTTTGCATTCATCTAAATTAAATCTCATCTGCCACTTGGCTTCCCAGACCCCTAATTATCCCACTCCCCCTATTTGAAAAGTTTAATATACTCATTGTTAGTCATTAGAATGTATTATTGCAACATTCACTTTGCATTGATATTTTGTAACTAAAGTTGTCCTACATAATTTTGCAAAGATTTATTTATAAATGGTGAAGAAAACTGTTCACTCTTGCACCTTGTCCTGCAGATTAGATTCAACGAAAATTGGGTAACCCCAGGATTCACCCAGAATGGTATTTCTATCACCAGCGCTGGTATCAACATGATTGTTGAGATTCCAGAAATCAGAGCCTACATCTCATTTAGTGGATTGATCTTTGCAATTGAAATACCATTCAGCTTATTTGGTTACAACACAGAAGGGCAGTGTGGTATGTATGATTTGGTTTCTGCTTTTGTTAAGTAGCAATTGTAAGACAATTGTATCTGTTACTGTAATTCTGTTATATGTCTTTTGTGATTAACATTATGATTACTATATTCTGTTTATTGATTTTTTTCATTTTTTTTGTAAATTTGATTTTTATTGTAGGATGAATATCCAATAAAATAGGTAGACATAACAGTTACGTAGCAAAATAATGAGACACACAGGTGTCCATTGTCTCTGGTCTGCAGTTAAACAACCTGATTCGCAGATCCAACTTGTTTGAGCTTATGTTAGAGTCTAGACTAGACATGACCGTATTGCGGTTTAAGTTCAGGTAACGTGTTTAACTTTTTTGCCTGTAGTTAGATAGGCGTCAGAGTTCTACATCAGCATTTATGAGCAATGAGATGCGCAGGTCTCCACAACATTTGGTTAGGGGAATCCTGTCAGTACTGCTGTGTTTCTGTGGCCCTCAGTGCCCTGTTAGTGGGGCATTCGTTAACGTTTCAATTCAATGTAGCCTTTTTACCACACACACCGTAGAAGTGTTTTTTATTCTATTGGTGACTTACGGCTTTTCAGTTTGCGATTCGTTGTGTGTGGTGTTGGCTAGTGAGTCACCCACCATCATATCCAGTATAGCCGTCTCAGTTACCCGTTTTGTCGGATGTCCGCTGGAGTGGATGTCTGATATGTTCCCCGCTGAGGGGTATTCCATTTTTTTCCCCTCCCTTGGCGCTCGTCTGTTTGAAGCCTCTGCTTCTTGGGTGTCTTATCCTTTGTCTGGTTGAGCCTCTAGTTTCATATTTGTGTGCCGGACCCTTTGGCCAGAGGCGTGGATGTACCTGTGTGGTACGTGGTCCTGTGTGTACTTTGTGAATTTTGTAGCGTGCCCCCATGTGGGTGTGCGTTCTTGTGTTTGAACATGTGTGAGAATGTGGTTGTGTAGAGTAGTGTTGTCTGCCATTTCTGGTTTCCGTATCTTACAGAATCATTGTACTCTCTTTTTGAGAGTTGTGGGTGTGTCTGGCATCCCTACCTTTGGCGGCCATCTCATGTTCTCCTGCCACCCTTGGTTCTGTGCTTTTAATTTGGCCTTTGTCCGAGCCCTGGATAGCCCCGCCTCCTGTGAGGGTCCGCCCCTGCCAGGTCCCCCGCCCCATGGTTACGGGTAGGCCGGGCGGATGCAGGCACGGTGGTGTCGCGTCCGACGAGCTCGGGCCCCCCGCCCTTCTCTCCCCCTCCTAATCGGTGACTTTGTTCTGTGAGCAATATACATACAAGGGTCTCCACTGCTCTGTGTGTTTTTCCTGTCATCCTAGTAGGTTTGCTATTGTGTATTCAGCTTTTTGTATTTCTTCCACTCTGTGTCTCTATTGTCCAATTGTCGGTGGGTGCGCCGTTTTTTCCATAGTAGCGTTATCAGCACCTTCGCCGCGTTTATCAGGTGTCTAAGGATCAATCTTTTGTAGGCTGTGAGTTTTCCTTCCGTGTGGTGTAGCAAGGCTAGGTCTGCTGTCAGACTTGTGGATTCCCTCAGTACATTCTGTATTTACTCCTCAACGTCCTTCCAATATGGTTTGATTCTGTCGCAGTCCCACCAGATGTGTTTAAGGGTGCCAGTTCCATTCTCACATCTCCAACAGGTGTCTGGTATCTCCGGGTTGATCCAGTGTAGTAGGGATGGAGTGTGATACCATTGGGATATCAATTTGTAATTCGCCTCTTGGTAGTGCGAACTGGACGAGCTCTTATGTTGTAGTCACAATATTTGTTCCCATTGACTCTCCGTGTATGTTTTGTCTGTTATGTCTTCTCATCGCCTTTTAAATGTTTCCTTCTTTTCCCTCTCGCTTGTTGCCAAGCGTTTGTACATGGCCGAAACTGTGCCGTCCGCGTCTGGTGGCATAACTTTTCGAACCACGTTAGGTCTCTGTGTAGTTTGTTTTTGTGTGGCAAGTTATGGTAGAAGTGTTTGAGTTGGGCATAGTGAAATTGATGCATCATCGTGGGCGTCCCACCCTCCGATATATCTTGTAGCGTCTTCAGCCCCGTTTCTGTTAATGCTGTGGGCAGCAGTATGTATCCTTCCATGCGGAAAGTGGTATCCTGTCCCCTATGTTTGTGTTGTGAGTGATGGGACTCAGCGGGTTCGGTTTAGGCGAAATGTATGGCACTTTCCTCAGCCGGGTCCATGTTTTGAGTGTTTGGGTGATGGGAGAGTCTTCCCCGAGGTCGTCCCTGGCACTAGTCTCTTTGTACCAGAGGAATAGTTGGAGGTGACTGTCCGTGTGTTCCCTGCACTGGGAGACCCACCGTTTGTGAGTAGTGGCTGTGTGTAATTCCCTGACGCGTTGTAGGATTGTTGTTTGGTAGTATTTGTTCAGGTCTGGCAGGGCAAGTCCTCCCCATGTTTAGGGGAGGCACAGTTTTTCGTGGCTAATCCTGGCTCTGTCTCCCTTCCATATGTACTTAAGGATCGCTGTTCGGAGAGTTTTGAAGAATGTTTGTGGAATTGTTCGGGGTATGGTGTGGAACTTGTACAGTATTCTGGGGAGGATGTTCATATTTACGACTGCTATTCGTCCCTGCCATGAGATGTGGTTGTAGTTCCATCTCTTGAGGTCGTCAAGGACGACGGCCAGAAGAGGTGTATAGTTGTGTGTGTATAGATCCTTTGACTTGGGTGTGACCTGGAGTCCAAGATATGTCATGTGTTCTGTGCACCAGTGGAATGGAAATTGTTGTTTCAGTGTGACGCATTCCCCCTCTGGCACCGTCACATTCAATACTTCACACTTGGGTAGATTGAGTTTAAGTCCCGATAGGTCTCCGTAAGTCTGGAACTCTTTCATTAGCTGGGGGATTGACTCGAGGGGTTCGTCCAGGAAGAACAACATGTCGTCCGCATAGGCTGCCACTTTGTGCTCTTGTGTTTTTTGTTGAAGGCCCGTTATCTGTGGGTTTCTCCATATTTTGTCTAGGAACAGCTCCAGGATGACTGCAAATAGGAGCGGCGAGAGTGGGCAGCCCTGCCTGGTTCCATTTCTGATTGCAAAGCTGTCTGTAAGTGGCCCGTTCACCCTGACTTTGGCGTTCGGGTGATGGTAGAGTGTTTTGATCCACGTCAGCATCCCATCTCTGATTCCAACTCTCCGTAGTGTCTCTATCATAAAGTGTCAGTCCACTCTATCAATGCTTTTTCTGCATCTGTGGATAGCAGAAGTAATTTTTTCTTTAGATGTTTTACTAGGTGTTGAATCACGAAGAGCCGGAGCGTGCTATCTCTGGCCTCCCTGCCCGGGATGAAGCCTGTCTGGTGTGGGTGGGCTAGTCTAGGCATGTAGGCCTGCAATCAAAATGAGATTACCTTGGAGAAGAGTTTTACATCCGTGTTGATGAGGGAGATTGGGCGGTAATTATTTACTTGTTCCGTGTTTTGCCTGGTTTAGGGATCACCGTGATCGTTGCCGCTAGTGACTCCCTATGGAAAGACGTTCCATCTCGCAGGCTGTTTAACGCTTTCACTAGTTTTGTTATCAGGTCAGCACTGAATTTCTTGTAATATTCCACCGGGAAACCATCCGGGCCTGGTGCTTTACCGTTTTTTGCGGACTTTAAAGCCAACTTAATTTCCTCTTCGGTTACAGACACATCTAGCGCTTCCGCTTCCTCCAGTGTGAGGGTGTCTGGGTTGACGTCTTGTAAGTATCTTGTGGTATCAGTTTGTTTCTGTGCGGGGGTGACGTCTCCATCTGCATCGGGGATGTTATACAGTTTTGTGTAGAATTACCTAAATTCATCCGCGATTTCCCCCGGGAATTGTGTCAGTTTGCCTCATCTAGTGCGCAGGGTGTGTATTATGTGCCTGTTTCTGTGGGCCTCTAAGCATTTGGGCGAGTAGCCTCCCCCCCTTGTTAGCGTGCATGTAGAAAAATGCTTTTGAACATTGTACCTGTCTTGTATGTTTACGTTCTGTGATGTCTGTGAGCTGTCTTCTCTTTGTGATCAGGTCCCTGTATGGCTGATCTTGTTGGGTCCTTTTGTGCATCTGTTCCAGGTCCGCTATCTGTCGGGTGAGATCTCTTAGCTGTTCGCCAGCTTCTTTTTTCTTCTGCGTTGCCATTCGTATGAGGTGTCCCCTCAGGACACTTTTGTGTGCTTCCCATATAGTCATGTCTGGCAGGTCTTCTGTGGTGTTCTCCTCAAAGTATTGGCGGATATGTTCAGCAATTTGCGCTCTCGACGGTTCGTCTAGAAGAAGTGTGTAGTTGAGTCTCCATGTTGTCCTGGCTGGGTGGTACAATGGTGACTCCAGTTCCACTCTCATTGCACTGTGGTCAGACCAGGGAGTGGGTTGGATGTCTGCCTTCCTTATGTAGGTGAGCCCTTCCTGTTGTATGCATATTTAATCGATCCGGGAGTATCTGCGGTGCAGTGTAGAGTAGTAGGTGTAGTCTTGTTCTATGGGGTTGAGTGCCCTCCACGTGTCTATTAGTCTGAGGTTTTTGAGGGACTATTGGATCGTTTTTATGGTCGAGTCTGGTATACTGCTCCGTCCCATGGATGTGTCTAACAGAGGGTCCAGTGGGACATTTAGGTCACCTCCCAGTATCAGAACTCCTTCCGTGAATTTGGCCAGCTTCCTCAGCATTCTGCGGACGAAGCTGGCCAGTCCCGAGTTCGGGGCGTACATGTTTCCAATTGTATACGATTTCCCGGCCATTTCCCCCTTAACAAAGAGGTACCTTCCATCCACATCGGTCAGCTGGTCTGTAACCACGAATTGGAGGTTGGCAGCGATTAAAATAGCTGTTCCCATTTTTCTCATCGTGGGATGGTTGCTATAGAAGTTCAGTGGGTAGTGTCGATTTTTAAGTAGCGAATTAGCATCCGCCTTCAGATGTGTTTCCTGTAGGAGAGCAATTGAGACATGTTGTCTCTTGAGGTCTCTCAAGAGGTGTCCTCTTTTCTGGGGCATTAAGTCCCCTACAGATCTGCGTTGTTATGATCAGGAGTGCCGGGGAGTATGCCATTTCGGGCATCTGCTCACCTTAGATATGTATGGTTTTGTAAGTACCGTCAGCGGGGGAGTCCCTTATGTCCCTCGTGGGCCAGGGACCAGAGCCCACCGGACCACCAGCCGAGCGGGGTGTGTCAGGTGCGATGGCTCGCAGGAGTATCCTGTGACCAAATCGGGAGTAGTGTAGTGTGTTGCCTTGCCTTGCTGAGTTATATGTCTTTTCCTTGTTGTTGTAGTGTATGTCGGTGAGGGTAGGTACATGTCCCCTCACTTAGTGTGTGGTCGTGTCTCCCCCTAGGTTGCGTGGAGTCCCGTGTAACTGGGTGGATGTCCAAGGCCGTACCACTACATGGTAATTACTGGAGCAGCGGCAGCTGTGGCCCGGTCAGTAGTCCTGGTATACGCGGGGCTGGTTCGGGTCGCGGCCTGTGCCTAGTTGGAGTAGTAGTGTGTGTGTGTGTCTTGTGGTGTCTGGTGAGGTTCCTTGCCCGTTTAGTGTGTACCTGTGTGTGTGCACTATGAAGCTTGGGTTACAAGCGGATGTGTACTCTCCTTCTGGGTCTATTCTAGTCTATCGTCGTCTGTGTCTTAGATGTTTTTTTTTTTTTTGTTTGGGTGGGGGTGGGAGGGGATGAGAGGGGAGGGGCGTGTGGTAGGGTCGGTTGAGGCCATTATAGTTCCTCATTAAGTTACGTCACCTTGGGGGGGTTGTACCAGTTCAATGTGGGCCGGCTTTGGTGGGTGTGGTCTTTGGGTATCTTCTAGGTCACTAATGTGGGAGTGGTTTGAAATATGAGCGTGGCTGCGTACTGTCCAGGCACCTTCCGCTATAAACTGTAGGATTGTTGCGCTTATCTGGTCTCGCTTGGGCTTATGTGGCCTATGCATCGTGGATCGTCTTGTATACATACATTTGACACATTTCATCCTGATATCACTTAAACATTCCCTTTTTATTCCTTGCTTTCAGTGACTTCTCCCTTTTATTCCTTCCACTCTCCCTATCTTTTCTCCCACCCAACGTCATTGTGCTCCCCCTTCAGGCATTCCCTCCCATCTTATTTCTCCGACCCTCCCGCCCCCATCCCCTCTGGGCCCCCAGCAGTCTGTTAGGGCCAGTGGCAGAGGCTACTTCCTTCCCTCTTGGGGTGTTAGCAATCTGGGCGATGCGTCCCTTCAGTTCCAAGTGGCTAGGTTTCTCCCCCTCCCTTCACCCCCCTCCTCAATAACCGTCCAGCATCCCTTATCCCCTGTTCAATGGGGGCAGTGGTATCGATCCCTCATCAGTGAGCAAGTGTTTTCAGTTCTGCTAGGTAGGGGATGTGTTGGCGGTTATATGGTGGATTAGTCATTTCTGTCGTGTCCAGTGGTGAGGGGAGTCTCGGATGGGATGGGCCTAATCAGTCTTAGGCCATAGGTCGGTGCATATTGGGGTAGGGTGAAAAGTACTTATCTGAGTGGGTCTTAGACCCGTTGGTGTCCCTGTGCTGCCAGTCGAGGGGGTCTCTAATTAGCTTGTCTCATTGGTGTCCCGTTCATTCGGCTTGCTATGTGCAGGCGGTCTACGCGGTGAGTCTTCTCTGCGTCGTCGTGCAGCTCTTTGCACCAGTGGGCCAGGGCGTAGTTCTAGTGGTCCCAGGATCCAATCAACTACCTCTGTGTGTGGCAAGCCCAGTCTCCTCAGAAACACCGGCACCTCATCCGGCCATCTTACGGGGATCCACTCATTCTCATGTCAGGTCAACAGGCTAAAGGTAAAAACCCATTTATACGGAATGTTACGGCTTCTCAATAGTTGGTTCACCGGTCTGAGAGCCCTGTGGGCCTCCAGCGTGAGGGGTGATAAGTCCTGGTATAGGGCTACCTCTGCTGGAACGGCAAGGGCTGCTTGGATCGGGCTTTAGACATGATTAGTTCCTTTAGCTTAAATTCGTGTATACAGCAGACAATGTCCCTGGGTGAATTATCAATGTTTCTCGGTTTTGTTGCCCTATGAACTCTGTCAAATCTGATATTGGGCGGCGCATCTGGACCCAATATTTATTTAAACAAAGTGGTGAGTATGGCCTCCACGTTTTCTTCTCCGTTCGATTCAGGGAGGTTGCGGACTCTTATATTGCATCTGCGTCCCCTGTTATCAAGATCCTCCAGCTGCCACCTGAGGTGTAGGAGGATGGTTCCTTGCCGATTGATCGCTAGATTTTTGGCTTCTACGCGGCCGGTCATTGCTTTCTCTGTGGCCTCCAATGCCTGGATGCGGTTGCCTTGCGCCGCTATATCATTCCCCAACATGGCGACTTCTGCTCGTATCACCTCGTGGAGTGTGTCGGAGGTACTCTTCAGGTCAGATTTCGTGACCATGGTACTAGTGAGGGCTCTGATGTCCGCCCTTAAGTCTGCCAGGGACAGTGCATGCGACTCTGTCTCCGGCGGTGAGGCCTGGTCATCGGCCATCTTTGGGCCCTGGGCATCTCGTGGCAGTCTGCTCGGTGTTTGTAGGTACCCGTCTAGTGAGCCAGTGTGCGGGTTGTTCGGTTGCCTCCTGGGTGTTTGGTGGATGTCTGGGCATTTAGTGCTCCCCATCGGGAGAGTATTTGCTGCAGGTAGTGCTCTGTATATTGCTGTGTGGGTCGGAGTTCAGGAGTTAGGCAGCCATCTCCGTCGGCGTCCAGGCCACGCCCCCTATTCTATTTATTTTATGCATTACTTTATTTACATTTAGTAAAACATTAAGATTTAATTTGAATACAATAGAGTCTTAAACGATCTACAAATAAATGCTACTTAATAGATGGGACTCCAAATTTAATTGCTATATTATTAATCTCCCAATTGTAACACACAGGCACCTGCTCCAACAATACCACTGAAGATTGCAGACTGCCTAATGGTAGAATTATCTCTGATTGTTCTCAAATGGCTAATCACTGGAAGGTTAATGTGACTGGTAAACCATATTGCAATGTACCCCCTCCAAAGTCCACTCCACCGCCTGGCACACTAACAACACCACCACCAGTGTGTAAACCTTCCAGTCTATGTGATGTGATCTTAAGCGAGTAAGTTATGTATGCAATTTTCTTCTTATTGTTTTCTAATGGTATTATTTCATTTATTTACATTATTAGAAGTAGGTGGACCTCTTTAATTTGCCTTCCAATGCTACGACTTTTGCATGTGTTTACAAATATTCTATATAGCGGTTATTTTGTTTCTCATTACATGTGTCATTTCAATCAACATAGCATGGAATTAATGCTGTAAACATATTACACATTTTTATTAATTAAATCTCTTCCATTTCATTGCAAGTGTCTTTGCTGAATGCCACAAAATAATACCACCAAAGCCTTATCATGAAGGATGTGTCTTTGACGCCTGTCGTATTATCAATGATTCAGTGGCATGCTCTAGTTTAGAGATCTATGCTTCCTTGTGCACTGCCCATGGAGTTTGTGTGGACTGGAGACCAAAGACAGCAGGCCATTGCCGTAAGTAATATGGTGGATATTTTGTACCATATATACTCTTATAACTAGGTTGCTGTAAATGTCCATGCCTCTTTACTTGACACATAAAGTGAAATCGTTGGAAAGGACAGCAGAGAGCCCTGAATATTAATTGCACTTTGCTAAAAGGTCAAAACGGTTACTATTAACTTTTTTTCTTTTGCAAAATATAGCATTCAATTGCCTATCTGGAAAGATATACAATGCCTGTGGACCAATGCATGCTCCTACTTGTGAAAACAGGTATGGATCCTGCTTTTTAGGAGTATCAAATTAAGCTTTTGTGTGCTGACAAGAACATCAAAACAAAACAATTATTATTTTTTATTTTTTTCTAAGATCAATAGGCAATAGTGTTGTCACTTAGCAGGATATGCCTCATATAGACAAAGTTGCACATAAAGATATGCATGCTCTTTCTAGCAAAATATACCAGTACATTTGCCAACACATTTACAAAATACATTAACGGGGATATCACAAAGACCCCTTAATACATGTACACAATTCATGTAAAAGCATATTTACAAATAAAGCAACTAACAGGAAAAAGAAGAATAAAAAAATTGTTGATAACATAGTGAAACCGTTTAAGAATCAAGTAATGCTTGGCATAATGGTAATATCATCCTAAACTACCAAATATAAAATGAAACCAATACACAAGTTGAAAATGGATAGGCTAAACATGTGTTACCACACATGCACACATATACACACACTAAATATCTGTTGTCTCACACATACACTCATATACACAAACACACATGCGCACACACATACACAAATAGCCTGGCAATAAAAACTACATTTAATTTGTGTAATTTCCATACTTTTCATACAGGGAGGTACCAAATGACCGCAATGGGCTCACAGAAGGTTGCTACTGTCCATCTGGGACTAAGTTGTTCAACTCTTACACCGATGTCTGTGTTGCAAGTTGCTGTAAGTATTTTAAAATTACAAATGGCAGAAGCCAACAGAAAATCCTTGTATTTTTATGTTGAACAAACAGTCATATATTCATTTTTAAAACAAAATCAAATCTAGTAAATTCAATTCAGTGTTAACAAATATGACTGTTGATCCTCAGCACAGCCATTTAAAAACATCTCATTTACATAGCATATGGAAACAAGGCCTTACCTTGTATATGCATGATAGATAGACAAACTTGCTTAGTTCTCTCTTGACAATCTATTTACACTTTGCAAGCACACCATAACAATCAGGAAGTAAACATTGGTTCTTTTATATTGAAAGGAAGACGATCTCTTTTCACTTGTAATAATCACTTTTATCACATTGTTCTTTTTTTTATTAATCTGTAACTAGAATATTTGAAACATGTTCAGTATACACGTTTTTCTTTTTTTAATCTCAGCTTGTGTTGGACCTGATGGAATGCCCAAGAAGGTGAGTAACTTTGTATTATTTGGGCAAAGCATATTGCTGTAGAAGAGTTTGCATTTACTTAATTACTCATTCATTAATCAATTTAATTATTCTTCCTGCATATACACCCTCCCCTAAGTAGGATATCACTAATATAACTAGTAAACAGATTCGATAAGTACCCCATGTTCAATTTGACACTTTAACATTTTTTTACAGCCTACAGAAACATGGACAAGCAACTGCAAACAATGTGTCTGTGAGGCCACCTCACTCACTGTACAGTGCAAAACAGTGCAATGTGCTGAATCTGCAACCATAACCTGTGATAAAGAAGGGTACGTTGTTGTACAGCTACCAGACCCAAATCAGCCATGCTGTATGATAAATGAATGCCGTAAGTAAAATAAAAATAATGTAACAATGGTATTAATTGGTATATTGTCGTCAATGATTTCATAACCTAACTTAAACAATACAGTGCTTCAAAGTGCAAATCCTTTCTCCTCACAGGCTGCAATAGCACTTATTGCTTGAACAAGGTAAAAAGCTGTCCTCTTGGATTTGAAGCCGTTCCAATTCTTTTGGAGAGAGATTGCTGTCCAACATATGACTGCAGTAAGTATTACTTTTCATTTTCAGAAAACATATGTGGTTCTAAAAAGATACATAATAATTAAAGTACAATTATCTTGACTATAATTATTTGGTGTTACTGTAAAGAGCATCAGATTTTTTAGCCAAAGTGATACTAAATGTGTATATATAGAGTTATTCTTTGATTTATGAGTTTCTTTTTAACTACTTGGCCTTTACTATTATGCCATTGGTATAGAAGTGGAGACTGTATTTAAAGATGCCATGAGTAGTGACTCTGCTCCCAATGTATGCACACATATCCCAAAATTCATACACTCTATGTGCGTACATTGGAATTATATTATACTTGCACACTTACAATTATAAGATTAGGAATTGTTCAGTTGAGAGTGGAAAGACTGTGCAAAGAAATGACTCTAAGTCCAGGGCTCCATACCTTGTGGTGATGTTGTCTGCAGGCTGTGATCTACAGTTAAGTATATCTTTGTATTTATACATTTGGTGACAATTTTGCCAGCACCTTGTATTGATTATATGATATTATTAGTTACATAATATCTACCAGAATGTTAGATAGAAATAATTTCTATGGCCTAAGGACTGTTGAAAAACAGAACTTGATTCTGTTCCCATGTTAAGAAAGCTGGTTCTCCATTAGTTACATATTATCTTAAAGGACCACTATAGTGCCAGGAAAACATACTCATTTTCCTGGCACTATAGTGCCCTGAGGGTGTCCCCACCCTCAGGGTTCCCCTCCCGCCCGGCTCTGGAAAGGGGAAAGGGGTTAAAACTTACCTTTTTCCAGCGCTGGGCGGGGAGCTCTCCTCCTCCAATCCTCCTCTTCTCCTCCCTGTCAGCTGAATGCGCACGCGCAGCAAGAGCTGCGCGCGCATTCAGCCGGTCACATAGGAAAGCATTTACAATGCTTTCCTATGGACACTTGCGTGCTCTCACTGTGATTTTCACAGTGAGAAGCACGCAAGCGCCTCTAGCGGCTGTCAATGAGACAGCCGCTAGAGGAAATAGGGGAAGGCTTAACCCATTCATAAACATGGCAGTTTCTCTGAAACTGCTATGTTTATGAAAAAATGGGTTAACCCTAGCTGGACCTGGCACCCAGACCACTTCATTAAGCTGAAGTGGTCTGGGTGCCTAGAGCGGTCCTTTAAGAAATAAAAAAAGATAATACAGTATTTCCTAGTGAAAAGTTTTCTTATTTCAACCTCCTACTATCATATAAGGAAATATGGTATATGCCATATTACTTTCTCTTGGGATGGATTCTCCATTTTTGAATATACCATATAAGTTTCTTGTGAGGCAAGTGTCGTGAAAAGGTGATAAATCTGAAATTATATGTAACCAAAACTATTCAACTTCATGCGTTTTTTTTACTGTAGGTTTTTCCTGTGTACAGTGCAGATTTCAGTATAAATTGCCAGTTTTATAAACTAACATAGTCAATCGAACAACTGGCCCTATTACTTCTTGGTTGTTTAACAAAGTAGAGCTAAACTCAAGAGGCAGGCAATTTCTCAGAGCACTTCTCTTTTAACTTCATTGGGAAGTCTAAAATTGGACCGCCGCATAGTCTGGTCTGAGTAACAAGGGAAGGGCTTGCAAAGGCCTCAGACAAGAGGTGTGCAGTTTTTGCAAGCTGTATTAGACATACCCCCAATTAAAAAAAAAATCATAATTTTTCATAGATGCATGTTTTTATTGTGGTTATTTATGTATATATCACTAAACAGTGATTTTTATTTTTGGAATTTTTCATATCAAATTCAAGATGCATCAAACATAACAATATTAATTTCTCTTGATAATTTTGTCTACAGAACCTATGGAAGTCTGTGTGTTTCATGAAGCCATATACCAGGTAAGCTTATACTAGCTTATACTAGTACATACTTATTAAATAGAAATTATCAAAGTCTCAAAAAATATCAACCCTACAGGATAGGCAGATAAAGTAAGCAGATTAACTGTATTACGAAGAAATGTGTGCTTAAAAATAATAGTCACTAGTAGGAATTTGATATACAAAGCTAAATTTATACATTTTTTTTTTCATTCATAGCCTGGGAAATCAATTCCACAAAACAAAAAATCTTGTGAGGAATGTATTTGTACAGAGGAAAAAGATGCTAAAACCAAGCTAAATATGATCGCATGTTACACAGTCATCTGCAATAAAGTGTGCGATGCGGTGAGGCTAATTGATGAAATTTTTTGACAAAGTATATCATAATTTCCTAGACTTCCATTTTCTGTGACTATAATAATGTCATTAAATTATTTTTTATTTATTCATCAGGGTTACTTGTACGAGGATATCGAAGGCCAGTGTTGCGGAGAATGTGTACAGGTGGCATGTATAATGACGGTGGATGTGGATAACACTGTTGTTATTGAGGTACCTTCCTTCTTAATAATGATACCTAAATAGAATATTGAAAATGGTTCGAAATTTTATTTTACTTTTCAAGCATTTATTTAAAAATCCTAAGAGTGTGGCTCCATTGAAAAATAAATTTGCTTACCAACAAACCAGACTAAATAAATTCTACAGTATGCTGCAAGTAAGAGGTACGTGTTCTACGTTTACAGATAGATAGATAGATAAGTGTGTGAAAGGGAAAGAATGAGAGTAAATAAGAAAATCTGCAAGAAAAAATAGAAATGGAGAAAAGGAGACCGAGATTTATCCCTCTATCATGAATGTAATATTAATAATATGTTTTGTTTTACAGCCTGGTCAAATGTGGTACTCTCCACTCAACAACTGCTCTTATTATGAATGCAACAAAACAAATGAGCACTTTGTCACCATGAGCATAACTAAGGAATGTTCAGTAATCAGTGAAGATGACTGCACATTGGTAATTGCCATCTATTGTTATAGAACACCTGTGGATAAAATTTTACATCATGCAAGTGACTGGCATGTAGTACAATATAACCTGCTCTTTTTTTGTTTATTTGTCGCCAACAGGGACATAAGTTTAAAAAAGCTGATAATCAATGCTGTGGTACATGTGAGCAGGTGGCTTGTACAATGAAACTGAGTGATGACTCCACAAAAATATTGAAGGTTAGATTTTATTTCAGTATCTATAATCCATATCTCAGTATACTTTCAAATTTACATAAAAAACAAAATATACATATTGAAGCACTTTCCCATTTTCATCAAAATGTCAATTAGATTTAAATCTAGTCTAAGAAGCTTTTATTAATAATGCCTGTAGCGGAGATGCAATATTACCCAGGTTATCTCCGCTTATAATCCAAGTGAGGCTCAGGAACAAGTAAATAGTAAATCCACAGGCAAGGCTTCCAGCAGGTAAAATACAGCAATATCCCAACAGCAATCCCAATAACTGGACTACACACAGTTTCAGGAGCAGAACTGAAAGCTTTTAATCCCCAGTTTCCTTATAAAGCATGCTCCCATGCAAGGGAGGGATTTACAGTAATTATTACAGTAGCCAATCCTGTCCTGGTAACCTCCCACACATCTCCTCCCCTCAGCCAGCATCATAATCCCCTTATCCAGCACACCAATTCCCCCCGTTTCTGGATGTACCCCTAAACGTAGGTGTACCACTTTAAATCCTACATCCCCGGATACCCCTGATCTGGGTGAACAACATATCCAAAAATCACCCAGATCAGACCAGGGGTTCGGGAAATGTATGGAGGGAATAAAATGACCGACCGCACTAACTGAGATAGCCAAATAAGGTTCCATGTGAATGGGCCCTGCGGTCGGTCCTGGCATAAGGGAACACAATACACGAAAACCTCTAGCTATAGAGGCTAGGGAGGGTTCGCCTGAATCCCCTCGTTCGGTTCTTTCTATCTACCGAACGAGGGGCCGTTCGGTAGTTAGGAACCGAACGGACCGGGCTTGTGGAGGTTTCAGCGGTGTTCGCCTAGTCGAGTGTCCGATTTGAGTTCCAGACACTCAACGGCAAAACACTGCTGTTCGGGAGTTTTAAAATGGCCGCCGCCACGTGTTCGTTTTTCGAATGGCGGCCACCCCCGAGAACAAAGGACGGCTACTTCACTTGCTAATTACCCGTTCACAACAATGTTGCAACGGGTAATTGAGAACACACTTCACACATGGGAGGTCTGACTGTTCGGTAGTTTCATTCGAACAAACTAAGGGAATGAAACTGCCTAACATTCAGACAAATCCAATACATCAAATACATAGACTTTGCCATTTTCACACGAATGCATAGAAATACATGAATTGCTCAGGACAACACAGGGCCATCCGCTACACTGCTCCCCCTTGCCCACAAGCCGGCATACACAGTCTGATCCCACACGGATCGGCTTGGTGATGTCCGGGGAGGCTCACGGATCATTTCTCTAGGTCAGTTTGTCTTGACAACCCGTCAGCGTTTCCATTCTGTTTACCCGGGCGGTACTGGATATTAAAGTTAAAGGGCTGCAGCGCCAAACTTCAGCGCAGCAGCCTGGCATTGTCCCCAGCCACCCGGTTTAGCCAGACTAACGGGTTGTGATCTGTGAGCAGGGAAAAAGCTTGCCCATACAAATACGGCTGTAATTTCTTCAGGGCCCACAGCACAGCCAGGCATTCCTTCTCGATGGCGACGTAGCTTACTTCTCGAGGTAACAGCTTCCGGCTGATGTAAGCCACGGGATGTTCTCCGCCATCGGCCCCGACTTGGCTGCTCCCAATCCAAACATAGAAGTGTCTGTGTGAACAAGAAAATGTTTGGTTGGATTGGGAGCTGCCAAGACAGGGGCATTGGTCAATGCATCTTTCAACAGCTGAAATGCCTGCTCACACTCCGGGGTCCAGGTCACTCGGCGGGGAAGGTTCTTACGGGTTAAGTCAGTGAGGGGTTTGGCCAGGGCACTATAGTTCGGGACAAATTTCCGGTAGTACCTGGCCGTTCCTAGGAACGCTAATACCTGAGTCTTAGTCCTAGGGGTAGGCTATTGAGCTACAGCCTCTACCTTGGCTGGTTCTGGCTTCTGCTTGCCGCATCCTACCCGATGGCCAAGGTATTGTACTTCGGCCAAGCCAATGCTGCATTTGGCTGGTTTCAGCGTTAAACCAGCGGCCCTAATCCTGTCTAGGACCACTCCTATATGGGTCAAGTGTTCCTGCCAGGTATTGCTGAAAATGGCAATATCATCGAGGTAAGCACAGGTATAATCTTGGAACCCATCCAGGAGGCGGTCCACCATCCGCTGAAAGGTAGCCGTGGCGTTTTTCATCCCAAACGGCATGACCTTAAATTGGTACAAGCCGGATGGGGTGACAAAGGCCGACTTAGGGATGGCGTCTTGTGCTAAGGGGATTTGTCAATACCCCTTACACAAGTCAATAGTGGTGAGATAGTGCCCCCTTGCCATCCGGTCCAGTAGTTTGTCTATCTTGGTCAGATACCGTCTTCTCATTCAGTCTCCGGTAGTCTACACAAAAACGGGTCGTGCCGTCCCGTTTTGGTACTAGCACTACCGGGGGCGCCCAGGGGCTGTCAGAGGGTTCAATCACCCCCAGCTGGAGCATCTCATCGATCTCCTTGTGCATGTTCTCCCGTACCGCTTCTGGGATGCGGTACGTGGTCTGACGTATGGGGAGTTGCCCTGGGGTGTCTACTCGGTGAGTGGCCAGAGGAGTGTAACCAGGTACATTAGAGAAGATATCCTGCTTCTCCCTCAACAGCTGTTGTACCTCGCTCCGCTCCTGTGGGCTCAACCGATCCCCCAGGGTGACTTCCCCTAAGTCTCCAGATAACTGGCCCTCTCCTAGCAGATCTGGGAGAGGCAGACTGTCAAACTCCTCTGAGTTAGGCGCGCATATGGCGGCCACTTCCTCAGAGCGCTCCTGGTAGGGCTTCATCATGTTCACATGGAGCATGCGTCGCCCCCCAGTACCAACGCACGAGCCTATTATATAAGTGGTGTCACACCGTTGTTCTACCACCTTATAAGGGCCCTGCCAGGCGGCCTGCAGCTTATCGTGTCGGACAGGTTTTAAAATCAACACCTTCTGCCCGACCTGAAAGCTACGGTCCCTGGCGCCCCGATCATACCATGTGCGCTGGCGTGTCTGAGCCGCCTGCAAATTCTCGCGTACCGTCTGAGTTAAGGCCTCAAGGCGGTCTCGGAATGCCAACACGCATGGTATGATGGGGGTACCGTCAGTGCTCCGTTCTCCCTCCCAATGCTCTCTGATTAAATCTAGAGGCCCTCGTACCCTGCGGCCAAACAATAGTTCAAATGGGGAAAACCCAGTGGATTCCTGCGGCACCTCCCTATAAGCAAAGAGGAGGTGGGGCAGGAACTTCTCCCAGTCCTTGTGGGTCTCTGCGAAGGTTCGGAGCATTTGTTTCAATGTACCGTTGAAACGTTCGCAAAGCCCATTCGTCTGGGGGTGGTAAGGGGAACTAATGACCGGCTTAATGTCACAAAACTTCCAGAGGCGCTGCGTGACTTCGGCGGTGAATTGGGTGCCCTGATCGGAGATAATCTCCCTGGGGAGTCCCACCCGGGAGAATATATTCATCAGGGCTTCTGCTACTGTCTCAGCCTGTATATTCGTCAGGGCCACCGCCTCTGGATATCTAGTGGCATAGTCTACTACTGTCAGGATAAATCTTTTACCTGACGGGCTCGCTTTGTTGAGGGGTCCTATTAGGTCAACTGCTACCCTGCTAAAGGGTTCCTCGATTATGGGAAGGGGATGTAACTTGGCCTTGCGCCGGTCCCCCCTTTTCCCCACCCTTTGACAGGTATCACACGTGTTGCAATACCTGCGCACCTCCTGGCTAATTCCCGGCCAAAAGAAACTTTGGGTTAACCTGTATCGGGTCCTGCTGACCCCTAAATGTCCAGATAGCGGAATGTCATGTGCTATCCGTAGTAACTCCGCCCGGTACCGCTGAGGTACCACCAACTGCCTCATCACAATCGGGTCTGACCCGGATACCTTCTTATCTGTCTCCCGATATAACAGCTGTTTGTCCCAAATAAACCTTTCGCCCTCCCCCCAGGCGTGTCTGCTGTCACCTTGTCCCTATACACCTGCAAGGTGGGGTCAGTCACTACCTCAGCTGCAAATTCGTTAGGAGGGGCCCAGGGAACACAGTCCAGGGAAGGGGAAGGATCTCTTACCTGAACCTCCGGGAGTGTGTTGTAGTCCTGGGTGCGGGCCTGTTGTCGAGTAACCACAGGGTGAGCTTCTCCTGTGGTGGGTGTCTGGGGCTCAAAAGCAGATGTGAGCCTCCCCAGATCGTTCCCCAATAAAACCTCCGCCGGTAACTGCGGCATCAACCCCACCTCCACATGCCCTGCCCCCGCTCCCCAATGCAAATGTACCCTTGCTGTAGGTAGCCGGTATACTGCTCCCCCGGCTACCCTGACGGCCACAGTCTTATTTAGTTTAGCTTGGTCTGAGACCAGGTGACTTTTTACCAGGGTGATGGTGGCTCCTGAGTCACGTAGCCCCTGAACCGCTTTACCCTCCAGATACACGGTCTGCCTGTGATGCTGGCGGTTGTCAGCATTAGCCTGGACGGGATCCGCCTCGTGCAGTACCTCCCACTGTTCTACCGTTGTAATGGGAACTGCTGAGCCATACGGTGTGGCCACGATGTCCTGGTAGTGGTGGGCTGCGGCTGCTCTCGGTGGTGGTGGTGGACCGGGTCGGATCCAGGTGGAACGGTCCCGCAGCTGGGGGCATTCCCTTTTATAATGTCCCCATTTCTGGCAGTGGTGGCAAGGGCCCGACGTGGGCTGGCGGAAACGTGGCTGTGCAGCGGGTGGTGGGGGTGGTGGCAGTGGTCTTGGTAGAGCTGGCGTGTAGTTGTTTCCCCCAAAGGTTTTAAAAGGTACTTTTGGAGCTGCAGGTTTTTGCTGCCTGCGTGCATCCAGGTACTCGTCTGCCTTCCTGGCTGCTTCGGTAAGGGAGGTAGGGTTTCTGTCTCTTACCCACTCCTGTACCTCGCTGGTTACTCCTTCATAAAATTGCTCCATCAGTACCATTTGCAATACATCCTCCATAGACCGTGCCTTGCTCGCTTGCACCCACCCCAAGACTGCTCATTGTAGTCTGCATGCCCACTCAGCATGTGAGTCTTTCTCCACCTTCTTTAAATCCCTGAATCTCCGCCGGTATGCTTCTGGTGTTATAGCATACCTGGCCAATATAATTTCTTTCACTTTGTGGTAATTCCGTATTTCTTCATTAGGTACAGTACGGTATGCCTCAGCTGCCCTCCCAGTTAACCTCCCTGCCAAAATAGGTACCCAGTCCTCTGCGCTGATTCTATGCAGTGCACACAGTCTCTCAAAATCTTGCAGGAAAGCGTCTATATCTTCCTCTGCCTCCACATATGTTTTAAAAGCCTGGTATGGTATTTTAGGCTTACCTTCTTGTGGCATATTTACTGCAGAGCTGCGTTCTGGGGCCGCTGTTTGACTCCTCAGTATAAATTCCTGGACCTCCGTCATCGTTTTTGAAACAATCTCTGTTGGAGGGTGTTCCCCATAGAAAGATAGCCGAAATTGTACCTGCCTCTGGAACTCCCTTTGTTCCGGTGTTTCTCCCGAATTCCCCTGTTCGGGAACCGAATCGCCGTCCATTCGGTACTCCGCCATCAGTTCAGTAATGAGTACCGCTTTTGTCTTATTGCTGGCTTGTATACCCCTTGCCTCCAGAAGGTCTTTTAGCGTGGAGCGTTTTAGTGTGGCAAAATCAATCTCCATCCGTACTCCATTTAGGCTTGTTCCTCTGTGAGTCTGGATCCCAGCGCTGCCAACCAATGTAGCGGAGATGCAATATTACCCAGGTTATCTCCGCTTATAATCCAAGTGAGGCTCAGGAACAAGTAAATAGTAAATCCACAGGCAAGGCTTCCAGCAGGTAAAATACAGCAATATCCCAACAGCAATCCCAATAACTGGACGACACACAGTTTCAGGAGCAGAACTGAAAGCTTTTAATCCACAGTCTCCTTATAAAGCATGCTCCCATGCAAGGGAGGGATTTACAGTAATTATTACAGTAGCCAATCCTGTCCTGGTAACCTCCCACACATCTCCTCCCCTCAGCCAGCATCATAATCCCCTTATCCAGCACACCAATTCCCCCCGTTTCTGGATGTACCCCTAAAACGTAGGGGTACCACTTTAAATCCTACATCCCCGGATACCCCTGATCTGGGTGAACAACATATCCAAAATCACCCAGATCAGACCAGGGGTTCAGGAAATGTATGGAGGGAATAAAATGACCGACCGCACTAACTGAGATAGCCGAATTCGGTTCCATGAGAATGGGCCCTGCGGTCGGTCCTGGCATAAGGGAACAAAATACACGAAAACCTCTATCTATAGAGGCTAGGGAGGATAAATAAAGGAAAAGAGACAGCGCCAGACAACCTGTAAGGCAGCAACCCAACAAGGGAATCCCCCCAAAACCCTAAAATACAGGATAAAAGCAAAATATAAAAGGAGGGCTGCGCCAGAATAAACAGTGTCCAGTATCAATAGTTATTGAAGATAAAAAGTCCGACCTAAAAGGTATCCTCTCTGTCGTCTTTAGGTACAGGAACGCGATCTTCAGGTAATATATAAAAGATAAAAGGAGAGAACAAACGATGGTGCAGAATGTACGGTTCAAATGAAGTAAAAATTGATTAATGATAACGAACTCACAATTTCCAGAGCTTCTGTCCAGCTCTAGGGTAAAGCGCACACAGCGGTATAATCCCCGCTTATGGGATTTATGATGGGTTCGTCAGGGTATCCAAAACTCAAAGGAAACAGAAACAGCCAAATAGTGCTCTCTGTATAACTGTATATTGTAAAAGAGAATAAAAAAACGTACTTACAAGTACAGAGCAGACCAACTGCTCTTTGATGTCAGCGCTGGTGGAATAATCCCCACCTATGGATTTCTTTGGTTGTCAGGAACTTGTAGAGATAGTATTAAAATCGGAATAGAGTGTATATAAAATATAACAATGAACTAAAACGATAAATAGCCAGGGTACATGTATAAATAAAAGTAGTTGGGACTATCAGTTAACCAAAAACTTTAATATTTATTATACAAAATTAAATTTCCATAACGCGTTTCGTCTAACAGACTTTATCAAATGGAATATAATACAAAACCTGGCAGATAGTGTTTATATAGACATAGTTCAATTTAAAATTGGCGCCAAAAATTTCGGCCAATCAGAATAAAGATACTTTTTTACATCTCAAATTAACAGTATTAAATTATTCTCAGATAGTAAATAGGCTAATGAGGCATATTCAGTGGTTTTTTATTAAAAACGAAGATGAGAAGGATTATAAAATTAAAAACACAATTGGTCATGTGATAATCATCACTTCCGGTTTTCGGCAGTATAGCCGCACGGCCTTATGGGTATTGTAGTTCCCCATAAGGCGATCTAAAAACGGAAGCTAGAAAAAGAGAACAAAAAAAAAAACAAAAAAAACAAAAGGGTTACTTGTGGGGAGACAAGTCCCATGGTGTTAAAATTACATAAAAACGAGCAGGGGAAAGTTGTAAAATATGCGGCACTTCCGGAAACCGGAAGTGTAACCGCAATGACTTGTGGGGCATGTAGTTGTGAATGCAGCAACCTATATAGAAAAAACAAAAAAAAAAAAAAACAATGAAAAGGAAAAGAAATAAGGGAAACTATTTAGCTAAAATCTTTTTTGCTAAAATCTTGTAATAGCTGATTTCCTACTAAAAAGCCACTGGTTAATGAGGCATATTCAGTGTTTTTTATTAAAAACGAGGATGAGAAGGATTATAAAAATAAAGACACAATTGGTCATGTGATAATCATCACTTCCGGTTTTCGGCAGTATAGCCGCACGGCCTTATGGGTATTGTAGTTCCCCATAAGGTGATCTAAAAATGGAAGCTAGAAAAAAAAATAAAAAATAATGGATAGGGTTACTTGTGGGGAGACAAGTCCCATGATGTTAAAATTACATAAAAACGAGCAGGGGAAAGTTGTAAAATATGCGGCACTTCCAGGAACCGGAAGTGTAACCGCAATGACTTGTGGGACATATAGTTGTGAATGCAGCAACCTATATAGGAAAAAAAAAAAAACACAATAAAAAGGAAAATAAACAGGGGAAACTATTTAGCTAAAATCTTGTAATAGCTGATAAAAAACAGCTAAAAGGTGTATGAGAAAAAATAAATAAATAAATAAATAATAATATGAAAAAGTGAAATATAAAATATAAAAATACTGGTCTTGGTTCTTACTAAAAAGCCACTATAATAGCCTTAAAGTCAGATGCATAAGAACATATGATAATTAGGTAAAATACAATATAAAAAAAATAAAAATACAATATTAAAAAGTCAAAATTACACGAAAATAGTAAATTATAATACTGGTGTCTTTATAAAAAATTATGCAGATCAAAGTCTGCATTTAGACCATGGGGTATAAGTGTCTTTTTTTTTTTTTTTTTAGTTCTCTTTTTCTAGCTTCCGTTTTTAGATCGCCTTATGGGGAACTACAATACCCATAAGGCCGTGCGGCTATACTGCCGAAAACCGGAAGTGATGATTATCACATGACCAATTGTGTTTTTAATTTTATAATCCTTCTCATCTTCGTTTTTAATAAAAAACCACTGAATATGCCTCATTAGCCTATTTACTATCTGAGAATAATTTAATACTGTTAATTTGAGATGTAAAAAAGTATCTTTATTCTGATTGGCCGAAATTTTTTGGCGCCAATTTTAAATTGAACTATGTCTATATAAACACTATCTGCCAGGTTTTGTATTATATTCCATTTGATAAAGTCTGTTAAACGAAACGCGTTATGGAAATTTAATTTTGTATAATAAATATTAAAGTTTTTGGTTAACTGATAGTCCCAACTACTTTTATTTATACATGTACCCTGGCTATTTATCGTTTTAGTTCATTGTTATATTTTATATACACTCTATTCCGATTTTAATACTATCTCTACAAGTTCCTGACAACCAAAGAAATCCATAGGTGGGGATTATTCCACCAGCGCTGACATCAAAGAGCAGTTGGTCTGCTCTGTACTTGTAAGTACGTTTTTTTATTCTCTTTTACAATATACAGTTATACAGAGAGCACTATTTGGCTGTTTCTGTTTCCTTTGAGTTTTGGATACCCTGACGAACCCATCATAAATCCCATAAGCGGGGATTATACCGCTGTGTGCGCTTTACCCTAGAGCTGGACAGAAGCTCTGGAAATTGTGAGTTCGTTATCATTAATTAATTTTTACTTCATTTGAACCGTACATTCTGCACCATCGTTTGTTCTCTCCTTTTATCTTTTATATATTACCTGAAGATCGCGTTCCTGTACCTAAAGACGACAGAGAGGATACCTTTTTAGGTCGGACTTTTTATCTTCAATAACTATTGATACTGGACACTGTTTATTCTGGCGCAGCCCTCCTTTTATATAGAGGCTAGGGAGGGTTCGCCTGAATCCCCTCGTTCGGTATTTTCTATCTACCGAACGAGGGGCCGTTCGGTAGTTTGGAACCGAACGGACCAGGGTTGTGGAGGTCTCAGCGGTGTTCGCCTACTCGAGTGTCCGATTTTAGTTCCAGACACTCGACGGCAAAACACCGCTGTTCGGGAGTTTTGAAATGGCCGCCGCCACGTGTTCGTTTGTCGAATGGCGGCCACCCCCGAGAACAAAGGACGGCTACTTACTATTCAATTACCCGTTCGCAACAATGTTGCAGCGTGTAATTGAGGACACACTTCACACAGGGGAGGTCTGGTTGTTCGGTAGTTTCATTCGAATAAACTAAGGGAATGAAACTACCGAACAATCAGAGGAATACAATTCTCTTTAACACATAGAAAACACAGCAGATACACGAATGCAGGTATATACAGTATATTTGTAGGGTCGCCTGGTGCCATCCGCTACAATGCCCATCTATTTTAACCTGTCTTGAATTTAAAAAGAAAACCTAATACATTTTATACAATCTCTCTGTGTAGTGAATTAAATATCCTTATTGATCATAACTTTAAGAATCCTTCCCACTGCTGCAGAGGAAGTCTGCTTTTGCAGACCACTGCTGCGTCCAGCCCAGCCAGGGCTTCTATAATTGTTGTTTTTTCAAACAAAACCGTAAGGTTTTTGTTCAGCCATTCTGATATGGAAAATTTTACTAGTAACGCAAATTCAGCCTATTTCAATCATACAAAGCATGCCTAATTCTGCTTACTGTATTTGGCAGCGATACCTCATTCTGCTTACTGTATTTGGCAGCGATGCCTCATTCTGCTTACTATATTTGGCCCACACTAGGGCATATCGACTTTTATCATATGCATTTTAGTTAGTCACCCTGCAAGTTAATGTTTCACTCTACATCTTAATTTTTCTTTGTCTGTCCTGGGTATTCATGCACTTTTTGAGCCTTCATTGTTTAGTAATTATGTGGCTAGGTGTAGCAACTGACGGTCTAAATTTATGTCAGGTCCAAAATTGGGCCTATACATGTGGTAAAGGAAATACAATATAAACTTGTATATACATTTTCTGTACTCATAAATGCAAAATTCCTTATTTTCTGTAAACTGGAATATCTTACTAAATGACCTTAAATTCATAGAACTGTGTCATATGCATTTCAGTTAGTCACCCTACATTTTAATGTTTGTCTGCCCTCTGGGTATTCAGGTACTCATTGGGCCAACATTGTTCGGTAATTCACTGTTTAGTAGATATTCCTCAAAGGACAGCATGTATGCATTTAATTATATAATTTTCATTGGGTATAATCTAAAACAGCTAGCTAAACCTGGAGTTCTCTTGTCTGCTGCTTTTGCATTCCCTCACTTTCTAACACCACCCAGACTTTCTTTGTACGGTCTGCATGCATTAGGAACATCATTCAGTCATGTTCAGTTTAAGCAATGAAGTTTTACATATGATGCTAATATTACTGAGATATTCTAGCATTCCCTATTGCTTTCAACCCTAATCTTCCATGCCAGCTGTGTATTAGACATGTGTAATTCGTTTCGGTCCGAATATGAATTCGGACAAATTTCAGGAAATTCGGACATTCGGGTACTTCTGAATGTCTGAATTGCTGAAGTGCCAAATTGCAAAGGTCCCGAAGTTCTGAAATTACCGAATTTCCGAAGTGACGAAGTTCCGAAGCACAGTATTGCCTAAGTACTAATATACTTACCCAGTGAAAGAAGAAGAATGTTACATTGTATACAATTTTAAATAAAAAGTATACAAACATGGCCAGGATTCAGCTGTAAGCATTTGCAACACTTACAACAATCAAGTAACATACATTCATATAAAATGTAAGTTACTTAGCCAGTCAATGTAATGACAGGAATGAATAAGTAGATAACTCCCTAATTCCCACGATATTAGGGAGTGTTGTGCCTAATCATTAAATTCATGAAGCACCAATATCTAAAAAGTAATAATCAATTACCTAATAAGGTTTATAGCGATATTGGCGGGCACACAACCCAGTTCGGGATGAGTGTCTTGGGCTATAGGAAAAAGAAACCACACAGAGACCAAGTTGCAGATAAGAATTCACACCACACTTTATTGTCCACAAGGGGAACCAATACAGAGTAAGCTTAACTCTCCTTAAGTAGTTGCATGCATTCACTTCAAAACAGCTTGGTATCTAGATATATCAGCTTAAGTATACATCACAGTTAAAGGGGCTTGTGTCCTCTGCACTTGACTGGGGAGAACTCTGGCAGTCGGCTTGGAGGGACCCTCTCTGGGAACAGCAGAGACCAGCAACACGCGTCCGCATTACAGGTGGGTAGTTCTCCAAGTGAGTGCCAGGTTTCTCCGTCTTTTATACTTTTTATCAAGTTTGTAACTTTTCCAAGATTTTCTTATCAGTGCAGCCCAGCATGTATCTTTTTTTTTTTTTAATTCTTTATTTTTGTTGTGCAGGGGAGTACAGGGTATCAACGGACGCCACAACAGCGTATTTCGAGATTCACAACAGTTTAACAGTGGCATAAAAATTTGCACAGTTTTATGTTTTTAAACATGCTCGACTAAATAGTTAAATCGATAAGGTAGGAGTAACTAAAATACAGTGAAAACTGCTTAGTAGGAACATTCAGTTAGATTACGTTGAGTGTTATTGTGCTTGGGTTAGCAAAATTAACAACATCAGTGTGGTTTCAACGTCACACGCTTATACTTTGATACTATTGGCAGTCGCTTCACTACTGTTTATAGTCGCGTCAACACCATTATCAGTCGCTACAATGCCATGATCTGTCGCTGCTATACTATTGATCAGTCACTCTAAACAGGACATATTTGCCTAAGTCAGCGGGTTTTCAACAGTAATGTATGACATTAAACAGGCTAGACTAGCTGACATTGTGCTTAATGAAATAACAGATAATAATAAAGAGAAACAGGTTAAGGTCACTGATCTAGAGCTCAGCATGTAATAAACAGTAACATGTCTTCTAATGAAACAGTACATTTACTCTAGTATCTCTTTTGGCTAAGAAAACACAGTTAGATGCGAGTTTGGTAGACAGACACGGATAATAAGGCGTGAGTAGTACCACTGCGTAATAGATTGCTTTAGGATGTGTAGCAGGAATACAAGTTGCCTTTAAGCTCTCATGCAGCTATGCCTCGAGGAGTTCCCTCTCTATGGTCCCCTATGTGAGCTGTTGGAAGGGATGTGCAGGGATCAGTTGCGTACAGACAGGTGTGGGAGTTCATCTGAGTTATGAAAAATTAGTGAAAAAATAAATAGAAATAAAAATAAAAGAAGTGATGAGTCCTTTGCTAGGCAATGAGTCCCAGTGCTGTGTGGTTCATCCGATGCCTTGTAGAGGCTCCCCTTGTGCCGTCTGCTGCTGCTGTGATGTGAGCTGCAGTTCCCCCAGTCCGGTGATGCGTGGGTGGAGTGTCTGAGTGTAGGCCGGCATCTGCTGTGGTAGGTATGATGTGGCTCTGATAGAGGGCCCTGCTCGACTTTGTGTCTCTAGGCTGCGTCTGTGCTTGTGGCGTCGTGCTATCGCGGCCCCCATGGTGAGCCCTGTGGTCCGCCGTTTGTTGATGCGAATGTGGTTGTCTGCACCTCTCCCAGGCTGTTTCACGGCCGGACGGCGAGTTTGATTTCCGCGCCGCCTTCGCACTGCAGTGCCAACAGTATGTTTTACCTGGGTCCGGCTGTGTTTGCCCTTAGTGAGGCTTCGGGTCTCCGCTAGCAGGCCGGTCTTTCTCAGGGGCCTGTGGGGTCCGGGAAGGGAGCCGGCGGTGTATGCCAGTACTCCCATCCGGGTCCCTCGTGCTGGTTCTTGTGTCTTGCCATCCGGCTGGGTCCTCTGCACCGAGAGCCAGCTGCTCCCAGAAGGAGTCAAATATGCGGGTCAGCTGGAGCTCCGTGTCTCGTCTGGCCTTGTGAAGGGCCGAGGCGTGGTTGCCGTCCGCCATTTTGTCGGCCTTGTCTGCAGTTTCCACACCGCGCGGTTGTTTCGTCCGCTCATCTCCTTTCAAGGGGATCGTGAGGGGGTGGACCGGGATGACCCCTGCTGGTCCAGGGGGGGGGGAACGAGGGCTCGGAGGCCGGTACCTGACTGGTACAGGCAGCAGGAAAGCAGCCGTCTTCCCCACGCCCGCCATGCTGGTAGGCCCCGACTTGAGTCTGGGTGCGCCTGAGGGGCATCGTCGCTTGTGTGGTGTCTGTTTGTGCGCCCCATTGTCGCCTGTCGCTTGGTGGCCGTGAGGAATCAATTTAGTGCCTTTTTGGGGTCTTAAATCCGCTTTGGTTGCCCTGAGATGCAGGAGCTGGTGAGACATGCTTCCTCACAGTTCAGCGGTCAGGCCCCACCCCCCCCCAGCATGTATCTTGTCATGCGCATTAAGTAATCAGTATGGTTGATCAGGCCAGTCGTGACCACCCAAGGCTCATGCCAGACACGTGCGGTATCTTATTCTATCTATGTCCCTACTCTTATCTTTCTATACATTTGTTGGCACCAAGTCCCTCTTTTCAGCACGTGGGCCTTTTTGGATATTGGCCAGACATGCTATGGAATATTCTAGGCAATGTTGAATTTCTTAGTGCGACACAGTTTAAGCATTTTATGCAATGTCATCATAGCTAAATTTCTTAGTGCGACACAGGTTGAATTTCTTAGTGAGACACAGTTTAAGCCAAGTGCCATCTTAACTATCTATAATAGATTAATTTGCTCATTAGTGATCAATCAATCATTCTTAATTAGTTAATTGGATTTTATCACAATTCTCACAGGGAGCTATCTACTAAAAGGCTAATTGACCTAAATTGATCTACCCCTATATAAGTTGGTTTATCGACTTGGCCCTCGTTATATTAATCACTTATCTACGATCATCACTACGTTCACTACGTCTCCGGGCTATCCCATTATTTTCAGGCAACAGGGGCTTATACATGTGACAGGTTTACAATTCCCTTACTTTACAGAGTTTCTTCATTATTAGAGTTTTGCTATACACCTTAATGCTATTAATTTATGGTTGACGTCACATGCTGGTATTTTCATATTCACGCCACCTGCTTTAGTCTAAGTCGCTTGTGTTACTCCTCAATTGTTTGCAAGGTATATATTGCTTGCTACTTTTTTTTTTGCCACCTTCAATTTAGACTCTCTCACTATACCATCAAGTTACGCCTGACTGACATCCAACATCACATGTTTCTCTACTTTCCAACAACGCCAGTTTCCTTTCATCCTATGCATTCAGACTATACTTAAGGGTATCCAAAATATGTGTGATTTGCTAGATTCAGCCTGTTTCGAACCCCTCACTAACTCTGTCATTAAAACCGCTATTTGCCTGGCCTTTTACAGCTTCCTGAAGCCACTAGAATTCACCATCAGTGGCCAACACCACGCACAAGGTTGCCTTCAAAGCTCCTACCTAATTAAACATCAAGATCATTACAAACTGACTCTACCCATGTCCAAAACGAGTCAACTGGGTCAACCCATCCACATTCCATACTATCCCATGAATAATATATGGTGCCGGTAAAGGTTTTCGGTTCCTACCTCCTCACCGTAACGAATATCGCATCTCTTCCGCTACTTTAACTTCACGGAGCTATCCTTACAGTTATTGTTAACAAGGCTCGGTATGAACCCTAGTCTTTATTCAAGACACTCGTTAAGGATAGGGGCTGAATCTACGGCATCAATTCAGGATGTTCCAATCCATGTCATTAAAACTCTAGGTCGCTGGAAGTCATCAGCATATACAATATACATACCCCAACCGGAAATACGAAATTGTTAAAATGTCATCTTAATGTACTTACATTGTATTATGTTCTTTACTCAAATGTATTTTGAGCATGATATGTATTCCCTTTTGCCCACTTTATTTACTGGCCTACAGCATACCTATCACAGGTTTGCTAACAACAATCTTACTTCATATCATAATCAATGTTGCCTCAAACTCAAATATAAATATAAATATATATATATATATATATATATATATATATATATATGTTAGTAAGCACCTTGTACAAAATACCCTCCATAAAAAGGAGATTTCTAATTTTCTTTCATCATAATATATAGACAAGAACACCTAATATGATTTAAATGCCACCATGTAATTGTCATTTTTGTAATGTTATATTTTTTACATTTACAGCCCTATGAAAAATGGACCCCACCCAATGAGGTCTGCATCTCTTACGAGTGCGACATAGTTGAGGGCCAGTTTGTTCCTGTGACAGTGAAGAGAACCTGTCTGATTGTCGATTGTGATGCTGTAGGTTATTTTTACAGTAACATTTATCTAGGTGCAAAAATATGAAAAATATATAACACACCAAGAAGAATTGGTCAGCCTAACAAATATATGTGCATTTTTCTTGTTTATCATAGGGTTACGAATACAAAATTAAATCTGGACAATGTTGTGGAGAATGCATCAAGGTGGCGTGCTCAATTAAGATGGGTGACAATTCAGCTAAAATTTTGCAGGTACTGTTGTTGGTTGATGTTATGGCTCATAGCAGTATTATTATAATGTAAATATTTTTAGAGTCAGAAAAAGGATACATTTTGACAAGATATTCTGTGTGTCTAAAGTGTACATTCTGTATAGCTTCTTAGTTACAATATGACATATAGGTTTTTGGTGAACCAAAAGAATCAATGTTTTGTGGCCCCTTTGCCTATAGCTAGCTGAGAATCATGGTAGTTGGAATCAAACAAAAGATGAACAGCAGAGAGCAATGGCAGCTGGTGAAGTTTAAAAATAGTAGGGCGGTCAACTCTATCCGAAAATTTAAATCTGACCCTTAACAATTTGGGCTCTGCCTTCTTAATCCCATGTACTTAACTCCTTACCCAATGAGAGGTCATGCCCTATTCTAGAACATAAACCTGTAGATACCCCTGATGCTGTTAGTCATGATAACTCTATAGCACAGGACAATAAATAGGCCTGCCTTGAATAAAAGCCCAAGGCAAAGCTAATATTCTATTGTTAGCACAAACTAAGCATGTCTGTGGTCTCTAGGTCTATAAAACTGGCAAATTGTTGCCAATTTTATGGACTTAAAACAAAATGCCTCTCAGCAGAATATTCAGCTAGCAATACGAAAATGCAGAACCAATCATGGTAGACACAACATGGTTTTTATAACATAAATTTAAACATCATAAAATTTATTTATTTCCAACAAAACATCTGTCCCTATGCACTGGCCTCCACTGACATAGAGTTGGCAATTCCAAACAGAAGTGATTTATAGCAAGGTTTTATATTTCATACTTTTCTTTAACTTTTTTTTAGCTTGGGCAGAGTTATACTCCAGAAGATGATAAATGTACTATCTACAAATGCTCTGATGCATACACTCTGGAAACAAAAAAAGAAATATGCCCAGCCTTTGACTCATCGCTGTGTGTGGAGGTATGTTTTTGACATTCACATATCTCATGTAAATGGAGAGCACATAGAAATTAATTCCATCTGCAGAACATTTTGAATTAATGCATATACTAATGATATTTGTTTAGAAATTAAAATAAATCCAACCTTGTTCCTATTTTGAAACAGAATAAAGATGGCACGGATCCCAGAAATTACAAAACGATTGTGTTAACCTCTTAAGGACACATGACATGTGTGACATGTCATGATTCCCTTTTATTCCAGAAGTTTGGTCCTTAAGGGGTTAATCAATGTAGATATGAAGATATATTCAGATATTATTGCTGAGAGAATTAAAAACATTATATCGAAACTTATCCACCCGGATCAAATTGGGTGTATCCCCGGTAGATGGGCATCAAATAATTTCCGTAGACTGATTGAAATCATTGACTGGACCAAAAGACATAACACTCCCCTCTTGGCCCTGTCTTTAGACACCAAAAAAGCGTTCAACAGGGTTGGGTGAGGCATTCAGCTTTAGGGGATGGATACACGGTGCAATTTTAGCTCTGTACTCCGCCTCCTCAGCCAGAACGGTGGGTCCAAATATAACTGCAGGCTGGTTTGATCTTAAAAATGGTACCAGGAAGGAGTGTCCTCTCTCGCCCCTATTGTATATTTTATCGCATGAACCCCTGGCTATCAATATTAGGAACAACTGATTAATCAAGGGTGTCCACATGAAATCAAGTGACATTAAAATTTCACTATATGCGGATGACGCTTTAGTTATTTTGACATCCCATGAGGAATCACTCCGGCCTTTAATGTCTGAAATTGATAGATATTCTAATATATCCAATTTTAAGTTAAATATTTCAAAATCTACAGCTTTAAGCATTAATATGTCCTTAGACCAGATTGACAAGTTATCTCAGAGATACAAATTGATTTGGACAGATAAGGAAATAGACTACTTGGGTCTAACTATTCCTGCAAATGTTTTGATTATAATGGAGAGAAATGCTTTGATCTTAATGAAAAACATGAATCTCAATTTAAAAAAATGGCAAAATCTGGAAACTTCGTGGATAGGTAGAATCAATATTATAAATTCCTACATTTTGACAAAATGTGGTTATATTTTCTTTTCTATGGTCCCACTAAAAATGCCCAAGCCTTGGTTAGCAATGATTCAATCAAGTTTTAATAATTTTATTTGGAAGAATAAAAAAACCTAGAATTAGCCAAAAAATTATATCTAAAAAGTTATCTCAGGGTGGCCTTAGTTTTCCAAGTATTACTTATATTTATTTTGCCAATATTATCCGTCATATATATATTCTTCAAGATCCACAGGTTTTTTTGTGAACCATGGTTAATTTTCGAGTCGGAAGCTGCCCATACTTCTAGACTATATTACTATATGTGGTTGGATATCAGGGGGATTTTAAATGAACCTTCCATAAGTTATCCATCTACTTTGGTTCAAACGCTAGAAGCCAGGGCAGAAATTAAGAAAACTCTGGGTTTTGTACAAATAATCCTGAGATCCTGTAAACTTAATATATTAGAATGTATTATAGAAGATTTTTCTTTGAGACACTGGGGAAATAATGATTCACTAATTATCTCGGACATTATGCAAAGAGATACTATTTTGCCTTTCCAACAGATTGTCAATAGTATACATATTTCTCCTAGAGAGATATTTACTTATCTTCGAATTAAACATTTCATACAGAAATGTGTTATTCCAACCTCCTTCCCATTGGCAAAGAAGTTGGAAAGTCTATTTTGCTACAGATCAGTTTCTTAGGTCACTTCTGTTGCTATCTCTCTGTTTGATGAATCTATGATCACCCCCCAGAAATGTATTAATACATGGGAGAAGGAATTAAATTTAGTGATGCCCCTAAATGATTGGCTTGTCTCCTTAACGTATACAAACAAATATATACATTGTCTTAAACTGACTGAATGCCATTTCAAGGTCATACACAGATGGTATTTTACCCCAACAAGACTGGCCAAAATGTACGATACATATGATTCTACTTGTTGGAGATGTGGCACGCACCCAGGCACATATATTCATATATGGTGGGCCTGTCCACTAGTTAAATCGCTTTGGGTGTGGGCATTTAATATCTTCTACCCCGGTAAACTCAATAAAAACCCGGCTTCTGCCCTTTTACACTTGAATTGGCAATTAAAGTCGCATAAATATATTTGTTTTGCTATTCACTGCTTTGTTGCAGTAAAATTATTATTGCCAGACATTGGAAGTCCTCTAACCCATTCCACAAATCCCATTTGATTGATCAAATTATATTTCAACTGACAATGGAAAAAGCTATCATAAATAATAAGACAGTTTTTTCCAAAAAAAGAGAATGGTACTCTAACTGGCTCCAAAACATTCCAACATTTAACGGTAATATACTTCTGGTTTAGCTTTTTTAGTTAAATAGGACTATGGTCATTGACAATCTTATAACAATAGTGGTTACAAGTGGGCGATTTTTGTATTGTTATATTTTAATAAGACTCGTATCTAGAAGGCTGCGATATATTATTAGGAAACCCTCTCTGCTCTGTATAGGTGGAGGGTTATTTCTTTGTCTTGTTCTAGTCTATATGTCTATGTATTCGATATATTTTGCATATATATATATATATATATGTATATATATATATATATATGATGATTTTTTATTAAATGTCGTGTCTATTATTTCAATCGAATATATTTTGTATTGTTACATGTCTATTGACTCTTTTGATACAATGGAAAAAAAAATGTCAATAGAAATTTATTATAAAAAAAAAGAAATTAAAATAAGTGTGTCAATACCAATTGCTTAGCACATATGTACAAAAATCTATTTATGACATATACGGAGTGGCCTCTTTAACCAGTTCTTATAATGTTTTGTTTATTTTTTCATAGGGTACCATTAAAATGTCAGAAGATGGCTGCTGCAAGACCTGTGACAGTAAGAACATTTTTACGAATTTAGCTTCAGCCAAATAATATAAATGTTTTTGGATCTAAAAAGTTTTGGGTAAACCCAAAACATGTCAGGGAGTCTAATAATGAAGTAAAAAATGGTCCATATAGTGTCCCTTCAATAGCAAAAAAGCAACTTTCAAACTGTTATTCAAAGTTGGTATTACAAAAAATGCCCCTTGTCCTTATGAATTACTCACGCAACACAATGTTTATTTAAAAAAAAAAGAAAAAATCACTAAACATCTTTTTTTTAAATTTTTTTTTTTAAAGCTGTAGAATGCCAGGTCCGTAAGCAGCCCACTCGCATCAATACCAAGACCTGTGAATCAGACCAGACTGTGGAACTCACCTACTGTGAGGGAAGATGTATGACTACATCAATGTAAGTTGTTATGTTTTGCGAGTCGATAATAATACTAATATTGCATTGATTATATTTCAAGTGTTACTACTAGACAATTTCAAGACAAGGGATATTTTGGAGAACTGTGTCATAAACACACAGTGTGTATATATATATATATACACACTTCTAGTTAATCAATAGCTTGGGAAATAACAGTATGGATTTGGAACTTAAATGCCACATTGCTTAAATTAAAATTGCCTACATGATGTTAACATTGTGTAATAGATAGAAGACCAGTTTTTATAACCGAAGTACAAATCAAAGTGTTCTAGAAAGTTGAGGTAAATGTGTATAGACTTTCTTTCTCCTCAATGTCTCATACAATGATATATCTACAGTTACTCAGCTGATGCAAATGCCATGCAGCATGCATGCAGCTGTTGCCAGGAGAGGAAGACCAGCATCCGAAAAATAAACCTGCCATGCCTTGATGGAACCAGCTTTCTTTACACATATATCTATGTTGAACAGTGTGGCTGCACCACTACTGAATGTGAAAAGTAAACTTAGTCTTCAACTGCAGGACAACAACAACAAAAAGTTGAAACTATAATTTCAACTGAACAACAGCAACAACAAATAGTTGAAGAGGTCATCAGTTTTACTGAACAGACCCAGTTACTGCAATAGAGTAGCTATTGCTTCAGAAATACAATTTATTTTTCGAGAAATTCTAGCATTCTATTTCTCTGGTTAACACACCCTACTAGCAATGAAATGTCTTTTTACTTCCTTTTGATTGAACTCCTCTGTGATCCTTCCAATTGCCATCCATACTGCTATATATCATGGAACTCTTTATTAACGTATATAAATAATTGTTTTCATCAGATATTTTTAGAAGAGGTTTTATGGATAGTCATACAAGCAGTTCTCATTTTTACTTTTGCATGCTTCCTGTAGAAGACATAACTTTATTCACTCTCATTTCCATGGGTCATACATATAGAGTTTCAAGATGCAGTCCCTAATATGTACATATTTGTAATGAGCCCTGTTAGTCTTCTTCTTGTCTCTACCGAGATAAGTTATATGAATGTACTTGTCAAATGATTGTTGACTATTACAATCGTGCATTAACTCCCACGTTAGTCCAAAACAACATTTATACAGTGAGGACATTAGGTACCATCTGACTGATGGTTCAGTCAACGCACATTTAACTCTACAACTTTGTCTTTTTAGAACTACTTTAAGAGACTAGTGTGAAGGTCAGTGTTTTAATAAATATTTCTAAAAAACTATACACAAAAAGTATATAAAGTAGGAACCTCCACCCCTCACACTGCCATTATGTTCATGTAGCAAAATGATTTACCTCATTATGATGCTGCTGCTTAGTTTACTTCTAGTTACAAACCTCTTAGATTGAACATGGATGTTTGTTACTTTATTATGCTTTGCGATCCCCCTTTGTTATTCTCAAATTATTTAATATGCTGTACTATATCTTTTTAGCAGATTGTGTTTGTTATAGTGCTTGCAGATTAAACATAATAATTGTAATCCTTACCTGTAGTTCACCTAAGCATATTTAGGTATATTTGTCACTAAGTGGTTCTGTTTACATAGATTTATTCAACCCCTGGTTGTTGATCAACCACTTTTGTATGCAATGGGTGATCATGAAGGAGAATTTGCTATTTTTTAAATCTATATTTAAAGCATATTTCTAAAAATATATATATACATATTGAAATTAATATTTTTCTACAAGAAGGCTATATTTTAGCTATTCATTTGTCCTTAGAAGTTATGACTTGTTTCTTATAAATTTACAAGGTACCATAAAGTTTAGAGGGTAATGTGTTCTTATCTCCAGAGCATAGAATGTGATTTTAAATAAAAAAAAATTTAAGCATTTAAAACACTTGTTTATGTGTGTATTTTGTAATTATAAGGATGGGATTACCTAGATGTATTCATTATGAGGGCTCTTGCACTATTGGGTGGGTTTGCAGATCTGCCAAAATTATAAATTATTCCTTAAGTGGGTATCTGTACAAAACAAAACTAATGGCATAATCACTTTGATTAATATCTAGACAGAGTGATAACTTGAAACACAAAAATAGGGCTGTCCAGATTTTTAAAGTGTAAAAGAAAGAACCTTATGGTTTATACTCTGTTCACCTGTGTCAGTATCAGAACATTAATTCTGGAAATATATAAGTCCAAAGAAAATTTTATAAAGGCATGAAAAACATAGTAAGTCTTACTATCAGTGGAAATGGAAAAGCACCTGACAAAAAGAAATGGTACCTCCAAGCAGGCTTTTATATTCAAACAACAGATAAAGGTCAGGTCTAAGTCAACCAAAGACAACAACACAAAAAACTACAAAACAACATCTCTGCAGAGGGCTCAGTCATATATATGACAACTTTCATGACAACTTTTTCACAAAATGGACAATTGGCCATGAAACAATAATAGCTAGTTGGGTCACCAATCAATGCTTGCAGTGTAACTGTATGTATTTATTCTCTTGAACCTCTGCTCAGCCTTCAGTCACAGCAGTACTGATGTTTACTTTTGGATGAATTGATTTGGCCGAATCAAAATTTTCCACTCTGCATAAGTCTAGAAAGTACCATGAATATACAGTATCTAACAAAAGTCAGTACATCCCTCACATTTTTGTAAATATTTTATTATATCTTTTTACGTGACAACACTGAAGAAATTACACTCTGCTACAATGTAAGTGTACCGCCTGTATAACAGTGTAAATTTGATGTCCCCTCAAAGTAACTCAACACACAGCCATTAATGTCTAAACCGTTGGCAACAAAAGTGAGTACACCCCTAAGTGGAAAAGTCCAAATTGGTCCCAAAGTGTCAATATTTTGTGTGGCCACCATTATTTTCCAGCACTGCCTTAAAACTCATGGGCATGGAGTTCATCAGAGCTTCACAGGTTGCCACTGGAGTCTTCTTCCACTCCTCCATGACAACATCACAGAGCTGGTGGACGATAGAGACCTTCCATTTGAGGATGCCCCACAGATGCTCAATGTGGTTTAGGTCTAGAGGCATGCTTGGCCAGTCCATCACCTTTACGTAGAAACATAGAAACATAGAAAGTGATGGCAGATAAGAACCATTTGGCCCATCTAGTCTGCCCAATTTTCTAAATACTTTCATTAGTCCCTGGCCTTATCTTATATTTAGGATAGCCATATGCCAATCCCACACATGCTTAAACTCCTTCACTGTGTTAACCTCTACCACTTCAGCTGGTGAACTAGTTTAGTAGCCCTTCTCTGAACTCTCTCCAAAGTATCAACATCCTTCTGGAGATACGGTCTACAGTACTGTGTACAATACTCCAAGTGAGGTCTCACCAGTGCTCTGTACAATGGCATGAGCACTTCCCTCGTTCTACTGCTAACACCTCTCCCTAAACATCCAAGCATTCTGTTTGCATTTCCTGCTGCCCTATTACATTGTCTGCCCACCTTTAAGTCATCTGAAATTATTACCCCTAAATCCCTTTCCTCAGATGTTGAGGTTAGGACTCTATCACATATTCTGTACTATGCCCTTTGGTTTTTACATCCAAGATGCATTATCTTGCACTTATCCACATAAAATGTCAGCTGACACAACTCTGATCATTTTTCTATTTTACCTAAATCATTTGCCATTTGGCTTATCTCTCCTAGAACATCAAGCCTGTTACATATCTTCGTATCATCAGCAAGATATACCTTACCTTTAAGACCTTCTGCAATGTCACTAATACAAATATGAAAGAGAATGGGTCCAAGTACAGATCCCTGAGGTACCCTACTGGTGACAAGACCATGCTTCAAATATACTCCATTGACTACAACCCTCTGTTGTCTGTCACTCAGCCACTACCTTACCCATTCCACAATATTGGAATCCAAACTTAAAGATTGCAGTTTATTGATAAGTCTTCTATGTGCAACAGTGTCAAAAGCCTTACTGAAATCTAGGTAAGCAATATCTACTGCATCATCATTATTATGTTGGAATACAGCCCAGTATCCAAAGGGAGGGGATCATGCTCTGCTTCAGTATGTTACAGTACATGTTGGAATTCATGCTTCCCTCAATGAACTGTAGCTCCCCAGTGCTGGCAGCACTAATGCAGGCCCAGACCATGACACTCCCACCACCACGCTTGTCTTTGTACTCCTCATCTGGTTGCTGCCACACATGCTTGACACCATCTGAACTGAATAAGTTTATCTTGGTCTCATCCAACCACAGAACATGGTTCCAGTAATCCATGTCCTTAGTCTGCTTGTCTTCAGCAAACAGTTTGTGGGCTTTCTTGTGCATCATCTTTAGTAGAGGCTTCTTTCTGGGATGACAGCCATTCAGACCATTGACACCCCTTCAACCTCTGCACTCATACGTCTATTTCCCAAAGGCAACCTCTGGATATGATGCTGAGCACGTGCACTCAATTTCTTTGGTTGACTATGGTGAGACCTGTTCTGAGTGGAACCTGTCTGAAACTGCTGTATGGTCTTGCTCACCGTACTGCAGCTCAGTTTCAGGGTCTTGGCAATCTTCTTATAGCCTATGCCATCTTTATGTAGAGTAACAATTATTTTCTTCAGATCCTCAGAGAGTTCTTTACCATGAGGTGCCATGTTGAACTTCCAGTGAACAGTATGAGAGAGTGTGAGAGCGACAACACCAAGTTTAACACACCTGCTCCCCATTCACATCTGGGACCTAGTAACACTAACGAGTCACATGACACCGGGGAGGGAAAATGGCTAATTGAGCCCAATTTGGACATTTCCACTTAGGGGTGTACTCACTTTTGTTGCCAATAGTTTAGACATTAATGGCTGTGTGTTGCGTTATTTTGAGGGGACAGCAAATTTACACTGTTATGCAGGCTGTACACTTACTACTTTACATGGTACTATAGTGTAATTTCTTCAGTATTGTCACATGAAAAGATATAAAATATTTACAAAAATGTGAGGGGTGTTCTCACTTTTGTGAGATACTGTTCCTCACTCTCTATAGCTCAAAGCAGCCTCCTAATGCATTAACAATATTCTTTCATGACCCTTTTGACCTCTGGTATTCCACTTATGGGAACAACAGAGACAAATCACACACAAACGCAGCACAGGTATGTCATTAAATTTGCTTGCGCTGAGTAAAAAACTCTTGGGCAGGGCTCTGCGTTTGGGCTGCCTTGAAGGGGCATTTAACTAACAAGCTCGCTTTGGGGAGGGCATATTTTGTCCTTGGTGATGATACAACAAACGACTTGTCTGTCCCTACAACTCCCCACTGGGCCGCTCCGATTAAAAAAATTACCAGGCTATTTTTTTTTCCAATTTGGCCCTGTATCCCACACCATACACCCTAGAATTTCCTTTTTCCAATTTTTGCATGCAAAAAAATATATATATTTTAATATTATCAATGTACTTTGTGAGCACATCACTTTAAAAGCTGTCCTGCACATCCAGCATGGGAGATAGTTTTGCATTTGTTTTCCTTTCAAATACTAAACATATATATTTGAAAGGAATTAATTATTACTGAATTACAAAGCAAATCAAAAAAGGATCATGAAAGGGAGTAATTGCAATTATAAACTGTACCATGTGGTGGCACTAAAACCATAAAATTAAAATGTAACCAACCTTGATACATGTAAAACTACAACAAAATATGTATTAAAGGGACACTCTTATCACCATAGCCACTACAACTGATTGTAGCGGTTTTAATTCTACTAGGCTAATCATGCAATATCCCAGTTATGTGTCAATCCAAGGGTCCTCCAGGCACCTGCACCCTGGGTCTTTGCTCACTGTATCATTGATGCAGAAATTTCATTGCATTATTTTCCCATAAACAGGTTTCCATGAACATATTTTTTTATATTACATGATATTTTTAGTTCACAGTTAGCATAAAGGTAGTGTTGGGATTAATGAGATAGGGAGTAGAAGGCTAATAGGTCTAAGGTAGTATGGGGACAATGGTTAGTGATAAAGTAGTGTAGTGGGAAAACGCATTTCACCATGTAGGCATATCATATATCAAAGAAGTTAATATCCCTCCTTGCTTTTCTTGTCTCTGCACTTCAGTAAGCCCATGTTCTTTCTTGTCACTGACTGCATCAAAGAAAATTCTTACATCTTGCATTACTATAAGTTCACGTTGCAACCATTTTTTAACATTAATTGGATATGTTTAACCACCACCTTTTGTGTAATCCACCTCACTCCCATAGACTTTAAGCTTATTTGAGCTCATCACCCTTTTTCCTGTGCATTCAACCTGTCTTTTTTGTAACTTTATTTGTCCACCTATTGTACAGTATTCTAGAATATTTTTACAGTTTGCAAATAATAATACAAATGTGATATGAATCAAATATTCTGTTTATGCTGGGTAGGTGAGTCTATCACATTACATCACACAATATTAAACCCAAAAAGCAAACATTTGAAAAATCTAATCTTTACAACCAGGAGGGTAAGAGTTCATTTAGGCAATAAAACTAAAACATTTACAATGTTTAACATACAAAAGAAAAGGAAAGGTCTCTCCTCGGGTAATTTCCAAAATAGGGCATAACCCTATATAGTATAAATAAAAAATAAAAAAAAGAAGAACTTCAGTCCTAAGTACATAGAGTCAGGAACTGACGTGAGGAAATTCCTATAATTGATCAATAAATTCTTGCTGGACTAGAGAACCAAGTGATAATAATTAGTGATAAACTCATTGATACATATGAAATGAAAAAAAATAAGATTCCACTTTAAGTGTACCCCTATAATTATGGATGATTCCTTTATTTGGTTATAATGGTGTTTTTTTGAGGATTAAG